CAGCAGCAGCAGCAACAACAAATGCTTCAGCAGCAGCAAATGCGAAGAGTTGTCGGCGTTCCCCAGCAACAGCAGCAACAGGTTCCGCAGCAGCATCTTGTCCAGCAGCAGATTGTCGTGGCTTCGTCACCCTCGCCACAACAACAGCAACAACAGATACCCGTGGGAGTGGGCGGCGTGCCTGTCCAGCGTCCACCTCATGGCTATATCCAAACACGCCCCGGACAGCCGCCGATACCGATGCCGCAGTTCTACGGCCACAATCCAAACCTCAAGCTGCCCGCCGATCTCTTCCTGGTGGGCTGCACCTTCTATATTGTGGAATATGACGAAACGGACAGTGACGAGCTGCCTATTTGGCTGGACACTATCCGGCAGTTCGGTGGGGACATCGAACGCGTCTACTGTCCCAGGGTGACGCATGTCATCTGCCGTACCCAGAGACACGGCGTAGTGATGCAGGCTCTGCGAGATGCCAAGCGTTGTGTGACCGCCTACTGGCTGAGCGACATTTGCTTAAAGCGACAGCTGATGCCTCCCTGGCAGCCGCTCCACTTGCCCTTCCCCAGTCAGTTTGGCTATCGCAAGCCGCTGGAGCGGTACATCATCACCTCCGAGGGATTCGAGGGCGAGGAGATGGTGAGACTGCAGCAGATGGCAGAGGAATGCGGGGCCATCTACACCTCGTACCTCTCCAAGGTGAACACTGTAGTCGTTTGCAAGCAGCTTGAGGGCAATAAGTTCAATGCGGCCAAGGAGTGGAACATTCCCATGGTCAATGCCCTGTGGCTCAGCGATGTCTGCATCGGCAATCTGAGCGGCCTTTCCCAGTACGACAATCCAAAGTATCAGCAGTACAATCTCGTGGCTCCTTTCCGCATCGAATGCAACCTGGTTGCCCATCTGCTAAGTAATTGAAACCATTAATTTCTTATCCAGCTCATGTACTAAATGTAGTTTTTCATTCTCTTCCCCAATAGCTGCCTGGAAGGCGCCCATTAATCTGACTCAGGAGGCTCACGAGCGCGTCAAGCGTCATCTATCTGATCCCTATGGCAACGAGCAGAAGCTAAAGCGCCAAAAGATGAACTCTTTCCAGCAGGAGCAGCTGCCCGAACAGATTGTCTGCCTAGAGTACCCCACAACAACCAAGCCTCCAAAGGTCATATTCTCTCAGGTCGCCGATGCCGAAGCTCTCAAAAAAGCTGTGGTGTAAGTACTGACAAGAATTAACTTTAAAGGATAGATTGTACGATTATTACTTGCAGAATCTTGGGTGGAATTGTTGTGGACAGTCCCGCAGATGCCACTCACCTGGTGATGACACGCGAGAGTCGCACTTGCAAACTGATCCAGGCCTGCTGCCACGTGGACTATGTGCTCAAGTCGAGCTGGATCGTGGAGAGCGCTAAGACGGGGCGGTTTGTTCCAATCGATCCGTATCGAATACAGCACATACCGGTCGACGAGAACCTACAGTTCAATCTGGACACGGTACTGTGTGCCCCCACGCGTTCCACTCTGTTCGCGGGTAGGTGTTTCCATGTGACGCCTGACGTGTTTCCGGCCCGCGAAGAAATCATTCGCATGATTGAATCCTCTGGTGGCAAAGTGGAGCCAAAGCGACGTAGCGGTGCGGCTGTAGTCGAGTCCCATGTTCAGTCGCCCGACTCGTACATCATTGTCACCTGCCCCACGGACATGCATCTGTGCGCGGATCTAACGAGGCACGGCAACCCCAAATGTCACATTGTTTCCACCGAGTTCGTGATGAGCTCGATTCTAAAACAGCAGCTGGAAATCGAGCCCAATCTGATACCTTACTTGTACAACAACAACAATGCCAACAGCTGCAACAACAACAGGTCCTAGCATCGTCGAGCGTTCTGGTTGTTGTAGTAGTGCTGCAACAAAGAAATATCCGGTTTCAGGATATAGTAGGTGTACAGTACAGAGTAATGTTAAAAAAAAGAATTTACAATTTGCAAGTTGTTACATAAGTTTATAAGAGAAGGCTCACATGAGCCGCCCCATCAAATTAATATATGCTGACTAGACTGATGATGCAATTTATTCGGAACCTGCCCCCAGGCCCTGCCTAATTTCTTATGATATATACCAATAAGAATCTAGTCGACTGAATTCGTCAACTCAGAAGGCCATGCAAGATGGGCTATACAGCTACATATCGGTTAAATTTCACATCCTTTATGTACGGAATCAATTTTCTAACTATCTTATCTTATACACAATTTCATATTTTTTCTTCGGCATAAGCTGATTAATTTTTTTGACAACCATTTCTTTGAATCATACGAGTATAGACCGCATACCGCAGTTTATTCGTACTATAAATTTTCTTTTCTTGAACTCTATGACTCTATGAATTGTATATAATTTACGTTAATTAGCTATGATTGCAATGATCTTTATCTATTAAATTTTTTGATTCTAGTGATATATGTATGTACATATGTAGCTCAGTTCTTGATGAGAGGGCATCACTGACCGATATGTGTATGAATTGTGAGGATAGAATGTAGGAAATGATCTACCTTAATTAGTGTAAGGACGAAGAGTTATATAAAATCAATCGATATATTTTTTCGAAGGTTCTGGAACCAGCTAGCTGTAGAAAGTCACACAAATATACACATATATATATTTCCCTAGAGTATACGAAGATGTTTCACAGAAATTTATATATTGCTGGCTATTAGTATTTTAAGTACTTTTCAACTAGTTAAAGCCAATATTTTCTAAATTAATAATATACAAATGAGAATATTCTTAGTTAGGCACTGTACGAAATCCATGAATAAAAACAAATTACTGAATGCATTCAAAATTTTGGTCGAACTATTATTATTGTTAAAGAATTTTACAAACCCGTTTGGAAAATCTTGATCTTGGGAAAACAGGTCCTTTGATGGTTAGGCCATTTTTGCCCAAGATGTAGCAAAAGGATCTTTTACTTGTAAAAATAACTAAAATACGAGATTGGACAAAAGAAAATTATTTCAAAATTAAACAAATTTGAGAAGTTTTCATTTTATTTTCGTTTTATTTGTGTTTTTCTGGTTTTTTGTTTGTTTATTGTTAAAGAATCTTACGAATTCATTTTTAATGTATTTTACAGACGAAGCGTGTTAGCCGACTTCTGTTGCTTGATTCTGTGTGTTGTGTTTGTGTTTAGTAAACAATTAACGTATTAATTTACAATCAGTTAAACCAAGGTTCACTTATGGCTAAAACCCCTAGGCTTACCGCTTACGCTTACAATTCAAATTCGCACTTACAAAGAATGTAAAAGTAAAGTAAAAATGATTTCGAATATGTATTTCATTCAAAAAGGTCATAAATAATTTTTTTTCCTGCTTATGTTAGAACTATCAAAAATTTCATTACGAAAACTAGTTACGAACTCTTCCCCTATCAATATGTAGATGGCCACAACTACATCCATCTATTATATGGTTTCTTTCTATGGTACAGCGCTTAAAAAATCAACAACATACGTTTTATAAAATCGGCTTAGCACATTTCGGTTATGTATCCTACACTTATTCTCTATATATTTACAGAAACTAAAACGACACTAGACTGAAATAGTCCGTCCTCTTAAGTGGTAAGTGTACCATCACTCCTCTCCTTCGTATGTACAGTTTTAAGGTATATTTAAGGTATTTTTCACTTTGTCCGTAAAACAGATTGGTAAAAATGGAAACTTTTCGCTCTAAATGTAATTTTGTATTTTTCCTTTAATCGGTTACAAAACCTAAAAAAAATTCTTATGAAAAATGTATTCACAGGGTCAAAATAAGTTAATTTAATGTACATATTCTTTTCTTGCCATTTCAAAGTTTTTGTGATCTGGGTTTTTTTTGTTTGTTAATTTAAGATGTAATATTTTGAATGAAAATCCAAATAAGAATGCTGCAGCAAAGCATGTATCAAAGACTATTAAAGAGATTAGAAAATATAAGAAAATCATATGACACATCCATTGGTAAGCATTGATCAGAATTCGTTTCCATTTAGATCCTTATGGCATACAACCATAAATTTCTTTAGTTAAAAATCGTTCACAAAAACTAAACATTATTTTTGAACACAAAAATTACATTTAACTTTTGGGAATACTTTTTTGTATTTTGTATGAATTTGAAAAGTTTTGTTAAGTTAACAAAAGTCTAATGCAAAATATGCAAATGGCTTCGGAAATTTGTCGATCTGCTGTTGCCTGTATTTACACGTAATCGCGGTTTGTTCGCTCAATCGAACCTCGCTTTGTACTCTTTTTCAATGTTGAACTTACGCTGTAACTTGTTCCTACTATACGGTACTCCTCGCATCCACGTTTCTTTATAATAAGATCAAGATGTACATATATTCTATGGTATATACAGAAATTTAACATTAGTTACGTGTATGTGTGTGTGTGTGTATCTTGTCGAAAACAGATTGGTTTGCATTTTTTTTATTCTCTCTTTATGTTTTTGTTTGAGTTTGTTTAAAAAGTACTATTTACATTTGCTTTTCTGGGTGTTTCTTTGTTCTGTTCTGTTCAGTTCAAGAGTATCTGTGTGTGTTCGGGTATCGGGTTAATATGATATTGAAATGTTTTAATCGTTGATGTTTTATGTTTTGTTTATTACTAAAATTAAACGTAATTCCATGTGTAAAATGAAAGTTAATCAAATAAAATGGGAGGATCTCCCCCATTCGCTCGCTCGCAGCTTTAGGCTCTCCTGTTTCTGCTTTGGGTATATCGAAACTCGTCTCTTGGTTTGAGTCAACTTAGGGACTAAAATACATATTTAGTAACGAAACGATGCCAGAAGGGACTCTCTAACGCCTCAAATAACTTCAGTTTTCGCCGCCTAATCTGCTACACTACATGCTAGGTAAGTTAATTCGTATATAGTATCATTTTATAGGCCCTATGTATCGTATATAGTAGGTTGTTGGTTTCTTTCTCGGTAAGTAATAGAATTGGCTTCTTTTCTGTGACAAAAACGAGACATTAATTAACTAATTAGTGTATCAGAAAGTGTTTTTTCTATATTTTGTTGTGGTTTAGTTCGTTTCGTTTCTTTTCATTTTGTTGTTTTTTTTCTTTTTGTTTGCTTTGCAAGCTATTCCGATTCATTATTTACATTGAGTGTGGATTATATTGGATCTTGTTTTTTGTTTTTCTGAATTGATTGCACCCACATCACGGACTATATCTATATGCGAATATATATATATCTATTTTAATGCATAATTTTCTTTATATTATTTAAAGCGTTTAAAACAAAAAGAATGATAGTTTTGCTGTTGTTGTTGGTTTCGTGTAAGAAAAGCGAATCTGTAACGTGGAAAATGATTTGATTTCGTCACCCATTTCTCATGATCGATATTCTTGTTGGAGTTGTTAGATATCCGTCTTAGTTTGATTTTTTCTTACGTGTTTCTGTTGATAAAAGTTAGTTGAAAATCTACTTCCTTATGCAAAACTCAGCAGCCACACTTACCCGTCGTCTCAGATGCCATCCCGCCTACCTCCCGCGGCAGTCACCTTCTCATTGACCTTCGTGGAGCTCGGACCTCCGACGGCACCCATCCGCTCAATCACCCGCGAGTCGCAGGAAATTGTCCGCTGCATGAAGCGTGAGCGTTCACTCATCTTTTCCTGCTGCTGCTCGAGAAGTGTGGGTGCCGCATTGAAGTGTCCTCCTGCACCAGGGATAAGCTGATATTTGGTAGTGGTGCCAACAGGAGTCACCCGCTGTTCCATCTTTGGCTTGTCATCGAACATGTTCAGCTTCTGGGCCGTGCTCAGGATTGTGTTTACATTGCTCAGAGTGGTGGCAGCGGACGGTAGCTTCTTAATCTGTCCTCCGCCCGAGACGCCGACACCCAGCACTTGCTGTAGATTCTTGAGACTGCTGCTGCTGCTGCTGCCACTGATAGTCCCAGTCCCAGTCACACTGGCACTTCCCTTGCTAGGGGTTGAGTTGTTGTTGAGGCTGCTGTTGATGTTCTGGTGATGGTGCACACTGATTGAGTTGCGGCGCTCTCGTATGGCTGCCTGGTAACGCTCTGGCGACTGCAGCACGCCCTTGTTGATTGTCTGCGGCTGTGCAAACCCAATATTAATGGATGTGGGCGTGGTTGGAGTGGTGGGACTGGGCGTGTCCACCGATGGACGATGCCGCATGCGGTACTCGCTGATGGAGAGCTTTCGCTTGGGCATGGGTGCGGGCTCGGGCTGCGTGAGCATGGGATTCAGGCGAGGATCGCAATTGGCTGTGCGCGTGTATATCTTGAGCGGCGTCGTTGCTGGCGGCGGCATGTCCAACGAAGTAACGACGGGACTAGCGCACAAGGCAGGCGTGACTGCTGCTCCTGGACTAGGCTTCACTACTGCCAGGGTGGGGACCACTGGTGTGGGCATGGGCGTTGGCGTAGGTGTGGTTGCCGCCTTTGCTTTCGTGGATGCCAGGTACTCGGCCAGGCTAGGCATGCTGCTACTGCTGATGCTACTGCTGCTGGTGGCTGGTGGCGGGTCTTGGAGCTTGCCGTAGATGGTGTTGTAGTAGGGCAGCGGCATTTTGGAGGCCAGGCCCTGTGATAGGCTGGGAGCTGGAATGGGCTGGGTAATCAATACTGGGATAGGGGCAGCCTTTGGTATCGGTGTCGGTGTCGGAGTGACGTGTGTGTCCACAGTGGGAATGGGAATAGCAGTGGGAGTGGGTGGCTTCTGTTGAGTGTTATTGTTGACCTTTTGCTTGGTTTCCTTCTCCTTTCCCTTTTCGCGTTCCTTCTCCTTGCTCTTTTGCTTCTCCTGTTTCTCCTGCTTCCGCTTCTCGCGATCCTTCTTCTTTGACTTCTTCTCCTTCTTTTCCTTCTTGATCAAGAGTGCTGCCTGTATGAGCGCCGCCTGCTGCCGACTCCCGCACATGGACTCCCTCCTGCGGCTGATAGATGGCAGCTTTCCACTGGCGATGGCCGCAGCCAGGCTCATGGCACCACCAACGGGATTCGCCTCATGGTGGTTGTTCTCCTTGCGGTGTTGCTGCTGTTGCACGACCATCGGAGCGGCTGTGGCTATGACCGTGGCCGCGGGGGTGCCCTGTGCCTTGCTGCTGTTTAGCAGAATGCTGCTGCTCAGAATCTGACTGTTCGGTTTGGTCAGCTCCTGCTCAAAGTTGGTCTGGCGTTTCTTTGTCGTTGCCGGAGCCAGCAATGAAGTGGGCAGCGCTGCAAGAGCCGGGGTGACGGGTGTCACGCACATGGACATGGTGCGACGACGCATCTGTTGTTGTTGCTGCTGCTGCTCCACACTGTTGTTGGGTGTGTGAGGGATGTGCTTTGTCTTGCCATTGGCTGTAGCCACCGGAAGAGCGGCAGCTGCTACAGCAGCTGTCGTTGCAACTGGAGCTATGGCTGGGGAGGCTTTGGTGTCTGGACGTGGGGCCGCCTGTGGCTGCTGTTGTTTCTTCTTTTGCTCAACAACTATTTGCGATGCCGTGTGAGTGGCTGCAGCCTTCTGCTTATCCTTATCCTTGGACTTTTTCTTCTCCTTTTTGGACTTCTTCGTATGTTTGTCCTTCTCGCGCTTCTCATCCTTTTCTTTGGACGATGACTTTTTGGTATCTGGCCCACTGACGCTGTTGCTCTTGTTGCTGGAAGTTGTCGACGATGATGCCACCGCCCCCGCAGCCGCTGCAGCGGCTGCTGCCGCCTTCTTATTCCTTGACTGCAAATAGAAAATGTTCTGCTCATGGAAGGACAGCAAACGTTTCTGGATATCAATTTCGGTGAGACTTTTGGTGCTGCTGTTCGATGCAGATGCAGCTGGTACTGCCAGTGGAGCTGTTGGTGTTGGGATTGCTGATGCTGCTGGTGCAACGGTCGGCAATGTAGTTACTGCCACTTCTGCTAGCTTGATTGGTGGCTGGGGCTGGGGCGTTGGAGGAGGTGTTGCCTCCCGTTTTGCTTTCTTTGGCAGCTCCTCCTTCAACTTGAGGGTTAGCGGACGGGAATTGATGGCCCCTCCAGGAGCTGATGCTAATGCGACCGCTGTGGCTATAGCTGTGCTGCGCAGCAGAGACTCTCCAGGCTTGGGCTCCATTTTCGGCTGCTCCAACTTGGGTGCCTCCGTCTCTGGCTTGGCCACCAATAACGTCACCTTTAGTGCTGCCTCCACTTTCGGAGCCTCCACTTTGGCCTCCAGTTTTGGCTCTTCTTGCAGCTGCGGCTGAACCTGGGGCTGGGGCTGTGGCTGGGACAGCGGTTGCTGCTGAGTCTCGCGAAGTTCCTTTTTCTCACGCTCCTCCTCCTCCTCGCGCTTCACCTTCACCATCTCCTCGAACTTGTCGCACGCCTGACTCTCCTCGCGCTCAACATCGATCTTGACATCATCGGCCGCCGCACTGGTGTCCTCCGGCTCGATCTTAACCAGATTGTCTTCGGCTACGATTTGCTGGGCCCCAGGACTGGGCGAACGCAATATGTCCACATCATCATCTTGCTCCTGGTGATGCAGATGATGGTTGTGGCCGTGACTGTGGCTGTGGCTGTGAATGTGGTTCTGCACATCCAGCAGCTCTGTTTCCGTCTCCACCTTCAGTGGCACAACGACATCCACTTCGTCCATGGCATCGGTATCCTTGGCATCACCAATCACATCGATGTGCGGCTCATCCGTCTCCACATTGGATGCAGCTGTGTTTGTGGCTCCGTTGCTGATCACCAAGCGACGCTTCTTCAGCGGCGTGCTGAATCCGTTGGCCAGCGGCGAGGCGACATGCACTTGTGGTGCGTGCGTGGCGGCAGCAGGGGATTGCTGCTGCAGATGCTGCTGGAGCCCCTCATCTGGATCTGGGGTGGTCTCCTCGCTAATGGCCTGACGCAGCCAGCGCTTCTTCACCGACGAATTATTTTGCAGAGGGAGGTGAAGCTGCTCCCTGGGTGTCGACTGTGGGGCTGAGGTGGTGGTCGATTCCGCCTGGTGGATGAACTGCTCCACCTTTAGGAGAGCCGGGGCCGGCGAGGATTGAGCCTGCTGCTGCAGTTGCTCCCTCTCACCGTTGATTTCACACATGGCCGCCTGGACAAGGCTGTCCAGTCCGGACTGCTGCGATTCGCATTGCTCCGCCTGCTGGAACCAGCTGGACATGAGTGTCTTCTTGGTCTTGGCCCCGCCTGGTGGAAACTTAAACTCCCCCATTGAGGCGGGCGAGGACATGGCTGCCGGCGACTGCAGCGGCTGTTCCAACGGTCCCATGGCGGCCTCAATCAACAGGCAGGCGCTGCTCACGGAAGCCGGGGTGCCCTGCTGCGACTGGGGTGTGGGCGACTTGAAGGAGTCGCTTGCCGAGGATGTGTTGTGTGCCAAAGCCAGAAGCAGGCCAGCCGCCTGATCCACTGTCTGATGGTGGGGATGCTGCTGTTGCTGCTGCTGCACGTGGTCTTCGGACTCAGAGTTGGTCATGGCATGTGAGTCGCAATCGGACTCCACCAGGACGCTCTTCCGGCGCTTGTTGTTCAGTCCGTTGTTGTTGTTGTAGCTGCGACTGACATTGCGCTTCCTTCGATTCCTGCGCTGCGGCGTTGCCGCCGTTACACCCGAATTGATGCCCGTCGGAGTCTCGGCATCTTCACTGATCGAGATGGACCTACGCCGCTTGCCGCAGGGCGAGGCAGGCGAATTGCTTGCCTGCCGCTTGCCACTGCTTTGGCGCGTCTCCTTTTTACCGCGTGCCTCCCGCTTCTCCATGTTGTCAATGGCCCGTATTATGGCCGCCAGCTTGCGGTCCTCTCGTGATGGCTTCTTACCATCCTTGGCCGCTGTGCGTGGAGGCGGCGTGTCACTGGGTCCGTCGTCCTCTTTAGATTCAGCTGTTGGCGAGACATCTACAACTGCAGCTGGTGGTGCTACCTGCTGCTGTTGCTGCGGCTGCTGCTGCTGCCTGATGGGGGTTTTCCTTGTGCCAGCCGGTGGAGCAGGCGAAGGATTAGAGATACTTATGTTGTTCGGCAGCCGTTGGAACACTCTTCACAGTGAGTACTTTGGTTGGCGGTGTCACCTGAATGGTCGAATAGATGACCTGTTGTTGTTGCGGTGACTGCTGCTGCTGTTGTTGTTGGTGCTGGTGCTGCTGCTGTTGTAATTGTTGCTGATGCTGATTCAGTTGCTGCTGTTGCAACAGCGTCTGTGGCAGCATTGGAAGCTGCTGCTGCTGTTGCTGCTGTGGGGCTATCACTTTAATGGGCGTTACAATATGCGAAGTGGGTGTGGCATGCAACGTTTGCAGAGCACTGACTGCCATTCGAGCCTCGTCAGCCATTTGTTGCTGTTGCTGCTGCTGCTGTTGTTGTTGCTTCTGCTGCTGCTGTTGTTGCTGTTGTTGCTGTTGCTGCTGTTGCTGCTGTTGTTGCTGTCTCTGTTGCTGTTTAAGAAACGTTTGTTGCACTTGCTGATGTTGCGGTGACACAAGTTTCTGTACTACATGCCGCTGCGGCGATTGTTGTTGCTGCTGGACAAAATAAGTGGCCATGGGTCGCTGGGCTGCCGCCGCTGCTGCTATAACAGCCAGAGGCTCCTGTTGAAGATGCTGCTGCTGCAAAAGCGATGACTGCTGTGGTGTGGGGGGCAGCACAACTTGCTGCAGCTGCTGCTGTGGCGATGGAACCACCTGCAACTGAGGCGACAGCAGCATGGGCGTGGGCAGAGAGGCCAGAATCTGTTGTTGCTGCTGTGTGGGACTGCGTTGGAGCAGAGACAGCTGTGCAGGCTGTGCTCCAATCTGTATATGTGACTGCTGCTGCTGCTGCTGCAATGTGGGCGACTGCAGCTGGATGGGAGTCGGCGAGGGAATAGACACCGATGGCGACGAAGACGATGTGCATATGCCCGAGTCGTGCAGCACACTGGACATGGACACCGAACAGGAGTTGTTGCTGCTGCTGCTGCCTCCGCTGCTGCTGCACAGGACGGCAGCAACAACAGGCGGCGTGTTCTGGAGGCAGGCGGCAGCAGGCGATGGCTTAAAGCCAATATTCAGTTGGCTCAGCTGCGGACTGTTGAGCCCCATTTGGCTGCTCTCCCCGCTGGACGAGGTCGAACGATTCCTGGAATTGGGCCCTACTCCTCCGGCTCCAGTGCTTAGTCCCAGGCCCATCGTCAGCTGAATGGCTGCTGCACTGTTGGCTGCCGCCACTGCAGCTGCGGCCTTGTTGCGATGACTGCTCCGTGGCTGAGCGGGCGGCGCCTGTAGTTGTTGCTGCACGGCCAGTGGCAGAGCAAAGAGACAATCGGTTCCCAGGTCACAGGCGCATCGCGTGCTCGTCGGTTGTATGACGGCGGCATGGGACTTCTTTTGCTCCACGGCAGCCAAATCGTGAGGCTCGTGACGCACCGTGATCTCCGTCTGGGCTCGGATGTGCGTCAAGGCCACAATGTACAGGTGAAGCGTTCCCTTCTCGAAATAGTGCTGCAGCTCGGCATTGGGGCGGCACGATCTGCGTACGAAGCGCGCATCGTTGCCGTAGGTGCGCGTATCCACGCACACCTCCGGCCCCTTTAAATAGGCGGGCGGTTGCTGCTGCTCATGGGGTGCGCTTCCGTCCGGGCGCAGCGTCTGCATGGGGGCCTCCACGCCGGGCAACTGGTAGAAGAACACAAACTGTCCGGGCGTCTTGTGGGCCTTGAAGCTGTTCAGATAGTTACTAGGCGGCGGTGTGTTCATGTTGACGGTGGGATTCTGGGTGCGGAACTGGGTGGTGAGCATGTACTTGCCGCGCAGCTCGTGGATGGGCGCGTGTGGGGACAGGTCGACGCTGCTGATGAGCACCTTGGCCCCCGCATAGGGTATGAGCTGGGCCCGCTGCTCCAGCTCGCTGGCGGCACTCGAGATCTGGATCTGTCGCAGGGCCTTGTTCTCCGTGTTCTGGATGCTCTGCAGCAGACTCGGCTGCTTCTGTATGGCATGCAAGCGGGCCCGCAGCTCGGGGGAGTAGTGATTCGTTACCGCGTACTCGTAGTTCTCGATCCACAGCCGCAGATTGGCGGCGTGCTTCTCGGCCGCGGTCAGAGCGGGACTACTGCCACTGCCTCCGGCTCCGTCTCCGCCGGACTTGCACTTACGTTTGCTGCTCTTCTTGCTAGTCTTCCCGCCACTGACACCGGGATTGATGCTGCTGTTCTTATCGCCCCCAGTGCCTCCGCTCTTCTTGTTCTTTTTGAGCGAAGCTGATCCCGTGGTGCCATCTTTGGTTTTTTTGGACTTTTTCGACATGCCGGTGCCCGTGGCATATCCTCCATTCAGACCCGATGTCAGACGATGTTGCTGCTGGTTGTCCTCCGAAATGGCAAGACCAGCTCCAGCTCCAGCTCCAGCGGAAAGTAATCCTCCTCCAGCTATGCCACCAGCCACTGCAGTACCCGCTGCAATGGCGGCAGCTCCATTTGCCGCCTGCGTGGCCACCAACAGCATGTGCTCTCGGCGCTTCTGGCGCTGCAATGCCCTGGCCCTGGCCTTGTCGACGGCACGCGGCTCGCACAGTTCGCACATGTAGAACTCGGGGATGTTCTGGCGATCGATGCCCATGCAGTCCACATGTTGCCACACCCTGAAGATTGGACAAGACATAGGTTCTGTAAGGATCTGTGATTTGTTAAACGGAAAAGTATGCAACTTACGAGCACTTGTCGCAGCAAATCATGTAGCCATCGTCGTGGGTCAGATCACAAATGCAGCGCGTAACAGAATCATCTTCAGCCTCCGCCTCGGGCGCTGTCTCCGTCTCCTCGCCCGGATCCATGTCGATGCCGGCCAATCCCAAGCGAGAACTGCTGCTGATGGCCGAGTGTGCATCATCGTCCGTTACATGGCGAGCCACTGCAAAAGATTCGAGTATTAACATAATGTCTTCTAGAGCATCTCTGTAGCCTATACTCACTCTGATGACCATAGGCGCCATAATTGCCATAGCCGCCTGCTGTAGGTGTGGGTGTCGCTGCCCCACCAACCACTGTCGCTCCAATGCCGCCCAGCGACCATTGCTGCGGCTGTGCCGATCCCGATCCAGTTGTGGCTGCCGCTGTGTTTGCCGCCGCCACCGCCGCCGCCGCCTGCGTCTGCTGCTGTGGCAGCTGCTGTTGCGAGGCGTAGGTATGATCCTGTGTGATGGCGTGCACCTGCTGCAAACGGAGATCCTGTGTCTGCACAGGCACTGGACGCACCTCCTCAATGAACAGCTCCTCGTCCTGATTCGGACCCAGCTGCGGTTGAAGCGGTTGCTGATGCTGCTGCTGCAGGATTGGAGGAGTGGCCTTCATTGCTGCCGCTGGCGAGGATAAGGGCGAGGGCGGTGCCCCCTCTTCCGGGACATTTGTGGCACTAATGGGCTGTACATGAACAGGCGATGCTGGAATATTCGTAGTTGTGATGGTCGATGGTCCATTGCTGCTGGTGCGATTGCTTCCAGTAAAGTTCCCAATAATTTGCCCTACTGTGCTGCCAACTTTGGTCATTGTATTTCCCATTTGATTGCTTCCGATTTGATTATTGCTGCTGCTGCCAGTAATGATGCTGCTGTTGCCGATGCTGCAAAGGAGAATAAAAATAATGTTCACTATTAGACACTGACATTTGACAGGCATCGATATCGATCAGTATTTTGTGCAACATTGACATCGTGCGTTTTGCTATCGAAAGTAAACGAAATTCATCCAAATTTTGGAAATCAACAGGAACAAACCGTTTTTTCCAGTGTTGATGATTTGATTTACGATGAAGCTACGTAAGAAAATGGTTGGTAAATTCATGGATTTTAAGTTCCTTTAGTTTCTTGAAACGAATATATCTTGTTTTTTTGTTGCTACTTAGTTGTGATAGTTGCACACGGATGTCTAACGATTGCCTGAAAATGGCAGAAATAATCGAAACGCAAAATTTTTGCCACCACTTGGCTCCAATTCCACTTCTTTGTGGAGAAACTGCACTTACGACAAAACCCCATAAACAGGGTTGTACAATGTACATACATATGTATATATTTACTTATGTAGATATAAGAAGCCAAAAATAACTTACCTATGCTTGTTGTAATACTCGATTACAGTGGGTGCTTTGCGCACACTGCCTATCGCTGCATCGTGTTGTTTTTGTTGGTGCTGCTGCTGCTTTCGTTCCAGGGAAGCTGCTCGACTGCTGGGTGCACTCACTGATTGACGTCGCGCCGCCGTGGCGGATGACATGTAGGAGGAGATGGCAGCACTGCCGCTCGCAAATCCATGCGACGATATGCTAACCGAGGGTGTGCTGGCTAGACTTACGGGCGGATTCGCCCCCACCGCTAGAAACGATGGCGACGTAACCTTCGTGGATGTCTGGAAGTGCGTCAGCAGTAGATTTCCAGCCGGATTGGCCCCGCCCGACGGGGATGCTGCACTGTTGGCCACTGTAACCCCTCCTCCATTGCTGCTGTTGTTGTTGTTGTTGTTGCTGCTGCTGCTGCTGCTATATATTATTTGGGTGGGGGGCGGCATTTGGGTACTGCCACTGCCACTACCAGGCGTCTGATAAGAGCGCTGCTGCTGCTGGCTGTAGGACTTCTGGGCCATGCTCTGCAGAATGCGCGCCGAGAGCTCGTCCGTCATCTGGGTGCCATTGACGATCACCACGTCGTCGGTGACCAGCGAGGACGAAGTCCTGTCCGAGTGTTGTTCGTTGTCGCTGCTGCCGCTGCTGTTGTAGTGGGTGCGCTTCTGCATCGCCTGCAATTGATGCTGCTGCGGATGCTGCTGGATGACGGTGCCATGCGAGTTGACAAACTTAATGGTGCCAGCGTTGGTCGTTAGTCCCGATCCCTGGCCCTGCCCCTGCTGCTGCTGCTGCAGCAGATATCCGGCGGCTGTGGTATTCGTCGCTGAAGTTTTGTGCTGCAGCTGCGTTCCCTGCGGCAAACTTATTTGCTGCTGCAGATACTTGCTGTTCAGTTTTGTGACCTTCGTTGGCGTAGACAGGGTCATTCCCTGCTTGGCATAGCTCATTTGGTGCTGCGGCTGCTGCTGCTGCTGGGGTAAGGCAGCTATAGACAGGGACGTCGACTGTTTCACAAACTTTGTCTTGGTTCCCGCCTTGAAGGACTGCTGCTGATGTTGCTGTTGCTGCTGCTGCTGCTGGTGGAGCGAAATGAAGTTCTTCAGCTGTTGTGCCTGCAATTGTTGTTGTTGTTGTTGTTGTTGCTGCTGCTGTTGTTGCTGCAGCATGTTGCCCACGCTCTTGACCGTGATCTTCTGATTAGCTTTCTTTAGGAGCGCAGCATTCGCCACAGTCGTCGCCGTGGCATTCACATACTTGGGCTGCGCCGGCTGGACAATTATCTGAGGCGGATTCGCCGAGTGCTGGCTAACCGGGACATACGACTGCAGGCGGGTGGCCACCCGCGATCCCAGTGTCACTTTCTGCAATGTGGCCTGCTGTTGGTTCTGCTGCTGCTGCTGCTGTGCCTTAAACGCACTAATGCTGCCGAATTTCTGGGGCTGCTGTTGCTGCTGCTGCTGCAGTCCCTTTGCAGGCGAAGCCGTGACATACGGCAAATTCTTGGCGCCCAGATAATTGAGCTGGTGCTGCTGCTGGGTGCCAGGCGTCCCAGGTGCCTGCTTGGACAGGACCGTGAGATTGCTGAGAAGCAGCTTGGAGTTGTGTGGCGGGGCAGCAGCTCCGGCATCGATAATGACGTTGCTGGTGCTGCCGTCAGTGGTCACAATCTTATAGATCTGGGGATTGATCAGCTCCTGCGTGGAGCCACCGGCTCCCGATGCTGCCCCCGTGGCTGTGGTACGCACGGCGTATTTTTGGGTAGAGGGTGGCGGCTGGGGCTGGCTTTGGCTGGCGCTGAGTATCTGGCGCGTGCTTATCGACATTCTACGGTGCATGATGCGCTGCAGCTGCGCCTGCGTGGATAGGCTACTGCCATCGATGACAATGTGCGGAGGCGCATGCTGAGGGCCACCCCCGACCCTGCTCATGCTGCTGCTGCTACTCGTGCTGCTGACACTTCCACTGCCGCTACTGCTAGCGGCCGGCTCCACGAAGACTGTGTCGTGCGTGGGCATGGTTCTTCTGTGTTCTGGGTTGCGTTTAGATCGCTTTATTAACTAAAATTAGATATATTTTTGTGTAGAGAGGGGCTGCTTTAAGTTCAGATTACTCGCTTAGTTGAGTTCGGTTCGCGCTTTGTCGTTTCACAACACTACTTCACTGGCAATGCAGTCATGTTGCTGCTGATGCTGGAGCTGTAGCTGTAGCTGGTTCGGCGTGCCCCCAAAGTATTGGGGGCCTAATGCATAACCAGAAATGCTTTCTTCGTCGCCGGCTCTGGTACTGGCACTGCTGGTCTGCTGCAGACTGACTCCTAACGGTAATGGTTGGTGGTGCGCGTTCGAATTGCATAGACGGTGTCCAACACTGTGCCACATTACATTGTTAGCCATTACAACCATAACTGTGCGCGATTTGATATTCTTCAGCGTCGTCGTTTCTGCTGCTTCCGTTGCTTTTTTGCACCCACTATTATCTCCGGTTAATCTCGTTGTCCGTCGTTGTATATTGCGACTTCTTATCCGTTTGATATAATGTATTTTACATAAACAATATTTCGTTGTTGTTGCTGAAATGGAAATGATATGAAAACATAAGTAAACAGACAGTTGAAAGCGCTGGTATTTATCGATAATATCTCTATCCATCCACCTCTAACATTGAGGCGCGGCATTGCCAACTGCAATTCGGTTTCGCGTTATGTAACAAAACAAATCAGATGCATAGCGCTGCCAACGGGCGCCAAAAATACGCATGCGCATTGCAATGCACGAGAGCGTGCTATTGTGCGAGATTTTTAGTGTTTCCTTTTGGAACGTGGTTCGTAGCTGCCTCTGCTGCTGCTGCGTCGCCTTTGCTGCACTTGTTATAAACTTGAATGTGGCAGCAGCAGCATCATACAGCAGAACTTCTGACAAAAGGAGCGCCAAAGCAAAGAGTAAGGGACATCGTCGGTGCAATGCTAAAACCAACAACATTTAGCACTTGTTCATATGGCTTAAACTAAACCCGTTTTTTTCGTTTTGCTGCGAACACCAATGTGAATGCGCAACGCGTTTTGCACAATCTAGCCCACTAGACCCTTAGGAAGATCGTCTAAAATACACATCGTCTGGCATAGCAAACAATAGTTCTAAATCGATTTTTAAATCCGATTCGTTTTTCCCTCCAAAACAAAGTACATATTTAACAGTTGGGAAAATTTTTAGATACACCACCACCCATGCAACAATACATGCACACGCACCATTGGAATGTTTTTCCTATCCATTCCTCTATTTTCCTATTTATTGCCAGTCTGCTTTCGCCTCGACATTCGCATGCCAAAGCAAAGCAAAAAGTGAATGCACTAATTTTGCCTTGGCATCCGGCGCGGCGCGGCGTTCATTGCTAGTTTTTCTCTTTTGTATCCATGTATTACAAGTTGTTTCTCTCTGCTTGCACTTGGCTCTACCTACACCTATATGTGTGTACTAAAGCACGAAAATGTATGTGTGTGTGTATTTTCGCGGTGCCAATTTGCGCCTATTGTCTGGCATTGTACATTCAGTAGATATAATTTCTAATTGAAATAGAGCCAGGCAGGCGCATTCGCTACTCGAAACGAAACAAGAATAGTCAACGGAAAGAGAAATCAGAAAGTACTGTCAATGAGCTTATGTAACCTTTCTGTTTATTTCCTACATATGTACATACAAATACCATATGTACATATTCAGTTATATAAAATTCCCGCATCGGAATTTTAAAGCTGCCCGCGGAATTACTAGCTTGAAAATCGATTATATAATCTGTATGGTTTAGAGTTAGAGGAGATCTCTAGCGGATTCATATTTAATACAATTTCGCTCCCACCCCATACATATGTACATGTAATTTGATTTCCGTTTCATTTTGGATTACTATTGCTCAATGGTCCATGTCCGATCTAAGAAAGCAGCACCATATCATCTCAAGGGAAGTGAACTGATTCCCCCAGTGGCTGCAGTAGCTTCTGATTTGGGTTACACACATGCAAACTAAAATCTTTAGAAAAATGTGCTTGTGTGTGCATCTTACAACGTCGCTATTTAAAAATACACAAGCTCACACACACACACATTAACTAGAGAATGAAATGTGAAGAGGCAACGAAACAAATCTTACACATTCTAACATCAGAATAATCATTGGGAAGAAGGTAAAATCAAGCAAAGAGCTGTGCACACACGTATGTACATATTTACTACTTATGTACATATGTATCTTGCTCATACGCAAAAGCTAACCCTACCCCAACCCCAGCAACAACAGACATCAACTGAAAGACGCGCCATAAACAAATTACACACACACACACCCACAAATAACGTGCCGACCGTGAGAGCGAGCGAGAGAGCCGGCTTGTAAAATCGTGCATGAAATGCACGTTGAAAACTTATCGCACACGCATACCATATCAATTGCATATGTATGTATGTACTGACCGCAGCGGTGCTTTCGTCGCGTTGTCGTTGCCATGGTTCTGCTGCAGCAAACAGATGAAATAAAACAAATACACAAAGAGGAGATACGAAAGCTTATTCTCGAATAGCGAATGAATTCATACACACATATGTACATAATTGGGATAGGCAGCGCTCCCCATATCACCCGCTCTGAATAGTCAAACACCTCTATCTGATTGGCCTACGTGACTGCACTAATACCAGCACTACTGCATTACAAAAATATTGGCATTGCCTTGCTGTACTTTCATTGACAACCGAACCGACCACCCCAACCCACACAAAAACAACACCTATCCGCTCGGCTCAGCGGCTGCAACGCAACCAAAGGTGATGGTTGCGGGTGCTGGCTAGTTGTACTCTCAACTAATTGCGTCTTAGTTTATTTTTTGTTGCTTCCCTGTATTGCATTCATATGTATGTAGTTAAATTTCAGGGGATTCAAATATTCAGGCGCCAACATCATTGAGGCTGCATGTGGACAGTGTTGAGCAATGTGGGCTGGCCTGACAATGCAACGGCACATGTTCCAGTGCATCAATGAAATACCAATTGGTCAAAAAGCAGGACAACGTCCCACACGACGGCCTGGCGGGACTTGGGTGGCAGTCTTGGGTAATCTGGGTATGGTATGCGACAACCCTTGGAATTATCGAATGCTTTCCTATTCTCTTTCCTCGAATTCGCAATTGTACATTAGTTCTGAGGTGCGCAGGAGAAAAAAGCGCACCACCAAAACTCGTCTATCAACTTTTGCTTTCATTTTGTGGCGAAAATTCGCGCGTACAGAGCGCAAGACATAAATAACAATTGCAAAAATCACGTATGCGTAAAGAGAAACACAGTAATAGCCACAGTGCGCAGAAGCGAGACAAACATACTAGGTAACCTCATATATACACACACACACACGGTATACAACTGCGGCTAACTTCAGGGCGTACGAGCGTGAAAACGGCAGGAACACGCAATAAAACGTTTGACGAAAACAATAAGAAAGAAAAGGGAATAAGAGATCTAAGCGACTAACGTCGCGTCGCTCTGTTCTAACATTCTGGATATTGGACCAACCAAGGCAATTTCAATATGGCGTCTGTGGTGCAAAATAGACTTGCAATTATTTATATAATTGAAATTTTTGAATAATTTTCAGTGGAAATGGGCATGCAATCTGATGCGCATGTCAAAACGACGAACACAAGAAATACACAAATATGAATACATATTGTGAGGCCAATGCATTGAGGGTGTGCCTATTTAATGTTTGTTTCGAGAGCCTAGTTGCACTTTCACATAATATATACCAAACAATTATTTTGGAAAATAATTTAAAATTGTTAACCATATGCATGGGGCTGGCAACTCTGTGGGGCTCTATTTAGTCACATCCAACTTCATGTTGCACAAAGCAAAATCGAAAGCAAAACAAATGAAGACACAAATGAGTGCGAGAGAGCACGACATATGCACTGCCGTGGGGGAGAAACACGAAATCAAATATGGCGACACGGTATGCGAAAAAGTGAATAGAAATGCATCAACAAATATTTAACCCGCTCAAATTTGCATTTAAACAGCTATATGACAAGTGCAGGATGTGATTCATTGCAAGATTATGCTGTCTGACTGTGCCCACTGACGATTCTATCATTATCACTGCACTTTTTCGATTAAGGCGCGCATTTCCCACATTTATTTATTAGCGCTTTACTCACCGTTTATTTTGTTCATTGGCGGTCTCACTTCATTTTTCACAACTCTGTTTAATTCGACGGCAAGGCAAGCTTTGATTTCTAATTTTTGCGTATTTGGCGCACAAAACTCTTCTCACGTTTGCTTTTTAAAATACAAATACAATTTGCATACACTTGGGCACTTGTTTTTAATTCCATTGAACATTTTCGATTTAGAGCACTTAAATAATGTCGCGGCGCTGTTTGGAACGTTTAGTACCTGCACAAAACAAAATGTTTTTACTTTGATTAATCAATTTTATTATTATTAATACCGTATGGCATAAGAAGCAGATGATAAAACGAATGAGGAAAACACATACACGGATGACGCAAATTGCGTGCGTCTGAGCGGGATAGCTATACATACAGCGATGACCACAGCTAGCGTGCCCGTTCTGACGTGTGGCAGAGGCTTGCCAACTGCCTATTATCGGCTATTTTATTTTGTTCGCTAGCTGCCCTGCTTCTTCTTCGTTTCTGTGTTGCACTTCTTCTTTGCTTTAGCCTATTACTACTGTGCCTGGCCATTCCGAAATGCTGTACGTACATATTTCGATTTCGCCTTTCCGTCTCTTCGTCGACACTCACACACTCGCACGCATATATTTCGGTATGTGTAAAATCTATACACACATACACACGGATGTTAGCGCACATATACACAAAAGAAAAGTAGTTAAATGTTATTAACTATCCAGCAGCGCTATTATTAGCTTTTCACAGTACCCACAGCGCCAAAATAAGGCAACATTTCCTGAGAGACATAATACTCGATACACAATCGAGGGGCACGCACTGTTCTGTAGGCAAATGCATCCTTTTCGTCCATCTTTTAGCTATGGACAGTATGAAAGTAATTCAAAAACGTACACCACAAGCAAACAAACTATATATTTTGTACAAATTCCCTATACTTCTCCTACACTGGCACAAATACTATATTCATGTACATATGTATATATAGACCGCTGCTAGTACACGTTTAGCGACATCTCGCTTGCTCTTACGCTCTGCACGTATTTTGCCTCTCACATTGTATCTGTTTTCCTCTTCTCCTACACGCTAATAAGAAATCGTATACTAAAATTGTATTTTAGAACCCAACTAACACGTTTCACAGTTAAATTTCATAGTGATGCGATTGCCGCCATCGCATACTATGCTTTTAACTATTTCCCTCAATTTATTTAGTTGTTTTAAGCACAATTTCCACGCGTTTAATTAATGCACGACTTTCCGAAATTAGGGATGTTAAATATATATTGATACATCAATGTATCGATGTATATTTCTTGTTGATAATAGTTTTGTACAGGCGATGATAGGTTGGGAAAATAACCGGTAGTTCTGTGCGATAAGCTACCGATAATATCGATGTGGCTCGACTCACATCACTATTACGTTGAAATAAAGAACATATTTTTTTTAACTCCTGGAAATGGAGGCGAATGTCAATCCCTTGGCCGTGATCCTAGTCTACTTTGACAGCAAGGGCGATCGCCTGCTTTATCGGTATCCCTATCAGACGCTTGGGCAAACAGAGGTGGCCACGGAGGAGCAGCGCAAGTCCAGGTCTGGAGTTTTCACGACTGCTGCGACATCCATCCAGTCCATCCTTCAATGCATTTTGCTCCTACAGAAAACGAAACCCCTATGCCGTCGCCAACTCGGACGACCTGCTCCAGACGCCCACACACATCAGCCAGGGTCAGCTGCAGGGGTTTGCCGATGAAGTCCTTTCCGCTCTCTTTGCCGTCAAGCCGCAGCTGTGCAATCAAAAGTTCGAGCTAAAGCTGAACGACGTGCGGTTTGTCAGTCATCCCACGCTGATTCCCCATAAGGAGCAAAGGCCCAGTAATGCCAGCAGCAGCATTTCCCTGCCCTCAGCTGGTGGGGCCACTGTCAATCCCGCGCCAGCCCCCGCATCCTCCGTCGTGGCTGTCAAAAAGCAACAGATGCTCATCAACATAGTCTTTGCCCTGCATGCCCAGGCCAGCTATTCGATTGTGAAGTGCTATCACGAGCTAAGCAAGCGCCTGGGGCTGGCCCTGAAGTTTGAGGAACAACGCAGCGGCTACCTTACGGAGCAGACGGCCCACATGGCTCGCACACACGACGAGCAGCAGCAGCAGCCGCTGGAGCGAACCCTCGAGCTGATCGCCGAGAGGTGCAGCCTGGCGCAAGCCCTCAAGTCTATATTCCATGATCTGTGTACCACCGGCCTGCTCAGTACCACGCTTAATCAGAATCTGACGCTCTGCTTCTGCCTGCCAGCCAAGGCTCACCAGCTGCACAAGAAGGGCAGCATGGTGGATCCCGAGACGATAGACCGCTGTCTGCGGGCTCTCAAGCCGTACCACGGCATGCTACTACTGGTGGACTTCGCGGAGCTGCTCGACTGTGTCCCGCCCACGGGGGCCAGGATGTTGTGGCAGCTGGTGGACGCCTACAATCCGCTGATTAGCCTCCAGAGCATGGCCTCCAACGCGGACCTAAGCATCGAGCATGTCTACAAGCTCGTCTCCCACCTGGTGTACTGGGCCAAGGCCACCATCATTTATCCGCTGTGCGAGACGAATGTGTACGTGATTGCCCCAGACGCTCCGCTGCACACGAAGTCGCATCTGGTGGAGAAGTTCTCCACGCGCTTTGCGGGCATGTCCCTATTCGAGGTCATCTCCGACTTCTCGCTGCCCACATCGATTGGACACCTGACCACGCCCCTACAGCAGCCGGCACGGCAAGGCATTCTCGCTCAGATGGTGCTGTGGATGCTGCAGCACCACCTGCTCATGCAGCTGCACACCTACGTTCAGTTTATGCCCAGCGAGGACGAGTTTGGCGACTCGGCTTCCTGTGGGCATCAGCTGCGTGGAGCCAGCGACGATGAGGGGGACCAGGAGCCCGATCAGGACGAGCTGCACGACGGCTCCATGCTGAGCATGTCCAGCCAGCCGTTGCCCGTCCCCGTGGTATCTATCAGTCATCGGCGAGACGTCTCCGAGGACCACTCTTCGCTGGCCTCGGACAACATTGCCGTGCAGCCCTCGTCCAGCCACAAGTCGAACTTCAGCATGACTGCCTCGCTGAGCACGGACAATTGCGACAGCATCGACTCCATGGAGGATGAACAGAAGCTGAAGGAACTGTTGCAGGTCTTCAACGATGCGGACCGGTCCGCCATCCGCCGCATACCCGCTTCGCTCAACGTCGACGATCTGGCGCTGCTGGTCAAGCTCTATCAGATGGGCTACTTCAAGAGCGAGCATCATCTCGAGGAGATCATGTACTTTGAGAACCTGCGGCGTTCCCAGCTGCTGCAGCTGCTCGACAAGTTCCGCGACGTGCTGATCATCTATGAGACGGAGGATCCGGCGATTGCCTCCATGTACAATACCAAGTAGATTAAGCATAGCATCAAGCATTCCGAATGCAGACAGAACGAATATACGTAATATATTTTTGTGAATTCCATAAATCGGGTTTTATTGGATATATTGAACCTCCAATTGTCTGCCAATCAGCTAAATATAGATTCCAGCATGTCGTGTATTCCATAGGACATCACAACATCGCTCCTTCCTTATAGCTAACTTAAGTTTACCAGTTTAATTCCAAGCGAGGCTGGTCATATGTTTCTGCCGGTTAATCGTTCGCGTCTGTTAGCTTCCTCTTTTTGTGGGAACGACTGTGATGAAGGAGCTGCATCTTCTTGGTGAACGTCATTGGGCAGTGTATGCACTGGTAGTGGAGCGGTGGTGGTCCGCCATTATTTGGCAGTGGTGCAACCACCGGCGCCACTACCCTGTTGGTGAAAGTTCTCCTCACCCGTGGCGGGTTGGGGGTAATCTCCTCCACCTCGTCATCGTCCTCAACGACCTCCTCGGTCTTGATGTATAAATCCAAGTCGTCTGTCTCGATGATCTCAAAATATTCCGCCGCCGTGTTGTCGTTGTCCACCTCGTTAATCACCGGCAAAGTGCAATCATCATCGATCTCTGCCTCGTTCCTCACGTTTACTGGCGGCCAGTTGTCGTCGTTTATAGAAATTTCTTCGTCAGTTAGTTCTCTCTTCACCGGGGCCTGGCTCTGCATGCTCCGGCAGTACTTGCGCTTGAATCGAAAAGCCTTTCGCAGCTGCTCAAAGCACGGCTGGCATAAATACTGATGGTGGCCGTCTCCTTCTTGCACACTCAACCCAGTGAAATCCCTAATCAGATTGGCCGGAAGGTCTTCCGGCTCGTAGGGCAGGCTGTCATCGAGAGGAGCCTGTTTTTGTTTTGCAAAAATGTCCACTGGGTCCACGGCGTCTTTCAGACAAATACGGCACTTAAAATCCGCCATGATTTCTTGTTAGCTAAGACTCTTAACTGTGTAGCGGTGTATTCGGCCAGGTTCGAGCAGGCTGGCAGAAAATGTCTGTCCTATGGTGTTCCCCCGTCCTTGGTTGCAATAATGCCCTGTGTGATTACCTCTCGTAGCGAGCACGTGACCATCACTTGCTTTATTTAAACCTGCGGCGGTGCCACCTAAATACAATTGTGTTGTTAATATTTTTGTAAATTTGTATAATTTTTATTTATTTTTTGTTTATTGGAGTGAGTGTGACCGCGGACCTTCCGATAAAATATACCATCCGACCCTCAGAAATATACCTCGTCATTTTCCAAATATACCCTAAATATACTGACGGACACGTATACACGTATACTGACACGTTGATATTCCTCGATTTTGATATTCGGTTTAATATTACTATGATTCTTTGAATTATTAATCAGTTTACTTAAAGATTTGCTAATCATAAGTACTCACAGAAATATACTGTAAATATACCATCAACTCAATTTCGACGTCATGCTGCAGGGTTGCAGTTATAAGCTATTGGCGGGCTCGCAGTGAAATTGATTTAAAAAAGAATAGCTGATGCAAATCGAGCAAAGCTTAGCAGGGCACAAGAGTCATTGGTCTTTCCGGCTTATCGCTCCAGCCCAGCTGAACTTAGCCAATAGATCTATGGAGCCACACCACATATAGCCTTCCAGAAGCCCGATAAGAAGCCACAGACTGGGATTACAAAAGAGCACATATAATATCAGCTCATTTCAATGTATTGCATATTTAGCGCCCGCGGGGCGAGAAAATAAAATAAAAAAGGGGTATAAAGAAACATACAAAAATGGCCGAGCGATGCGAGAAGCGTTCTACATTTCCACATAGGTGGGCATGGTCATTACGCCGCAATTGTTCTTGCGTGCTGACATCAGGATGTATCCGTCGTTGCCCCAATAGGTGGACCAGGAGTTCTTCACCAGCCAGTAGTCCTCGCCCTTGATGGTGCCGAAGCCCACGGCCAGAACGGCATGATCCAGGCCATCCACATCGTTCTTGCACTCTGGCTCGTAGTACACGCCGTGCGAGTAGAAGCTGAAAGTCTTTGGTGAGGCATCAATGGCCACCGAGAGGGGTCCGTGCTTTAGGAGGGCCAGCTTGAACGCGCTCGGATCGTTGGTGGTGACATTCACAAAGCCCTTGATTGGCGCCACAAGGGTGACGTTGTTGATGCGACAGTAGCCGTCCTGGCCAAGATACGGACCGTACTCCTCCTCAGTGGGTACGCCGCCCACCTGCATCATCCACTGATAGACACGGAAGTCCTCACCGCCATCGCAGCCATTGTTGCCAAAGGGCCAGGAGCAATCGATCAAGGCTTGCTGCGACAGACGGACCAAATTGCCCCCGTTCTTAAGGAAGAAGGCGCCCTCCAGGTGGCCGATGGTACCGAATGACCAGCAAGATCCGCACACCGATTGGTCTAATATGAAAATAAAATACATTTTGAGTTTGAGCAGAGAAAAACGCCAGATCTTTGGGCCTACCTTTGACTGGGGTAACAGCACCGAACAGACGCCAATCGTACTGGTCGGGAATCTCATCCCGGTGCTTAGACACATCGTAGGGGAAGGGCTTGCCTGTGTTGTAGCCGCCAGACGATTTGTAGCCGCGTCTGGCCTTCAGCTCCTCCTCGGTCTTGTCGGCCAAATGATTGACGGCCAGCGTGTAGGTTAGCTTAGCCCGGTTCTTGGAGTGAATGTAGCGCAGATTCTGGCGGAAGATGTTCTTCCGGTGCTCGTGCTCCTTCTCAGTGCGGTAGGTCATGCCGTGCTTGTGCTTAAAGTGGTGGAAGGCCCTCTCCACGTGCTCGTCGGTGCGCGAGATGAACTCTTGCATCGGATTGAAGGTGGCATAGTGGCCAGTGCCCGGCCCGGGGAAGCCCACGCACGTCAAGCTCTCGTCGATCTCGAACACCTCGTTGGGGATATCGTCGTGCTCATAGCTGTCGTAATCCAGGTAGTAATGATCGTAGTGGGAGCCCAGGAGTGTGTTGTAGCCGCGCATCTCGTAGCGCACGGGGATGGGCATGCGACTGGCCGGGTAGTGTGGCGACTTCTTGTAGCGCACCCACAGCGTGTATACGTTTTTCTTCTGGCCGATGGTCTCCTCCAGGCGGAACTTGTCGCAAGTGAAGCCCAGGAAAGTCTCAGTGCCGATCAGCTGGAATGGCTTGGCGTCGGGCAGGATGCTCTGAATTTCCACCTTCTGGTCGGACGTGCCGTTGACCTGCAGGCAGGTCAGCTTGTTCATCTCCTCGTGCGTGGTGATGGGCGCCAGCTTCAGCAGTGTGCCGTAATCCCCGTCTCCGGCCAGCTGGTACGTCTTCACCATTCCTCCATAGTAGTCGATGCGGGATCGCTTGGTGTTCTTATCAAACCAAGCGTAGAATGGCTCGGCAATCTCGGCATAAGGTATGTACAAAGTGCCCTTCACAATGTAGTTGGGATCCCAGCGCGGCGGATTAGTGGCCTGACCTAAAGTAGCGGTTGTTGTGGTTTTCGGGGGAGAGAGAAAGAGGCGGGAGTTTATCAAGTGCAAACGGTAAAGGGCAGCCATCATTGTCTTGTCTTGTCTCACGCCACTTTTCGCATACATGGATATGTATATACATATGCATGTATTTACTTATGTGCATTCATTATTCTCTATATACCTATATTCTTTGTTTGGCGAAACACTTTTTGCAACCTAACCTTCTATTTACTCACCTGAGAGCGCCAGTCCCGCCAGCAGCGTTACAACTAAAAACACTTGCATTCTCCGGCAATCTGCACCGAATAATCTACACTTTAATCTTCAGATTCAGGATCGAACTAAAATGATGTCGTTTGTTGGTTAAAAAGGCTAAGCTCTTCTGCCGGCTCAACTTAATCTCTGCTCCGACATAAACTTTCTGTAGCGAAAGCGTGAGAAACGCGTTTTGGGATTTGGCATGCCACACGTTCCAACTTGAGCGTACATTTTCCGTTTAGTTTAAAAGCAGCCGGACGGATTGTTTCTTTTCTAGAATTTAAATATATATTTTGCGTTATTGTATGAATAAGAATATTATTACATTTAAAAAAATTAGTATTTTTTGAGTATGAACCCCACCTCGCCGTGTTTGGCCAACAATATGCCATGATGTCTATGGTATGTAATCAAAAGGGTGGATTTACCTTGCATTTCATTGCATTTTCTGGGCCATTTTGCCTGCTGTCCATACCCTCTTTTTCTTCAGCAATTTCCCAGCGGGAAATCCTTCGTAAAAAAGCTTTGTTAGGTCAAAAAGGATCCAAAAGACACAGTGTACGTGCGCCACGGTTCAAAATATATTGCTAAATGTATAAGTGGAAGTGGTACCGATAGAAGTGCCCCGTGCCCGTTGCAAAAACTTATTCATTACGGATGTACGCATCGTAAATGGCTCAAAATATAGTGTTTTATAAATGTTTAAGTGGTTTACGTGGTAGTTAAATGTACTCACTGCACCCATAGAAGTGCGCTTTGCAGATATCGCAATTAAAATTGCATTAAAATTTGATTGGAACGTGTGCGCTAAATGGGGAAAGTTAAGTGATTAGGGGCGCACAAAGTTTGGCAAATTATGTGAAAGTTTTAATGCGAATCAACGAGCAAAAGAGGCCAAATACAATGTGCCGTTAATTGGAGCAGCGACAAGAACAGGACCTGAAGGACACACAACGAGGTAAAGAGTGCCGATGCGAAAAATGCTGTAAATCAAATCAAACTTTGATTTTTCCTGATTAGCTTTCAGTGTTTTTTTTTTTAGCTCGTTAGATTCTACGTAAAAAGGATGGGTACATATGTATGTATGAATGTATGTATGTGGATACATACACACCTATTATGTAGCTCTATGTTGGAGTATCACAATTGTTGGTACATTTTCTTCTATAGTCTAACACACACACAGAAAGTGAACAAAAACAATTTATATCATATACAGACACATACATACATATGTATATATAAGTGAACAATGAGCTGGAGCAGGATGCCGCATAGCCTTGAATGGCTTCTAGATGAAATTGCGAATGAAACGGAAACAAAATTACAGTGATAAATATTTGAATAGAGATTGGGATTAAAATTTACCATGGACCATGGCAGAGTGTTATTCACTTAAATCTAATGGGAATTCAGATTTACCTACAAACATTTTGGAGCCTCAGGGAGGCCACAATTTTGAATTAGTTAGGCTCTGCTTCGGAGAGCCGAAAATGTAAAAGTTTTATTAGCCGTGTTTGCAGGACACACACAGAAAAAAAGAGAAAGAGCAAGCAACGTATTTCATTGTATGCACGTGTGAATGCAGGCATTTGTGTGTATTTTTGCACACATTCATACGTTTATATGTATGTATGTACATATGTATGTGTAGTAAGTCTGTTTTTCTACGCGATTTCGCCTTTGCTGTGTGTAACCTACATTTTAAACGGCACTGTATGTATGTATGTTTGTGTCAAGCCGAATGCCGTTGCCGAACTCTCAGTTGTAGAGGTTTCAAAATTTAAGTGGGAGTGGGGCCCGCGGCATATGTAAATTCGTCTTTATCAGTGCCTAAAAGCAGCAGCACACACGCACACAAACACACACAGACACATCCAAATACATACAAATAAAAGTGCATGCTTCGCAAAGTCTTATGTACCGCTAGAATCAACAGCACTCTCTGGGGAAGCTAAGCTCTCGCGAGAGCAAAGCCACAGCACGAAGTGAGAGCCGAAGCAGTGAAGAGCGGCGATGCAGAATGCAGCAGGATGATGATTGCGTTCGTTGCTTCCGTTATGCCGTTACTGTATCATCGCTCTCTCGTTCTACCCGTCCCCCGTGTCACTGTCCACTAAACCAAAGCCGTCTCTGTCTGTCCCTTTTCAGCCCCGCTCTTCAGCCATTGGACATGCATTTCCGTTAGCTGCCGCTGCCTGAAAATGTATATGCAAAGAGTTGGGCACAAATTGCATTATGCAGTCCTTAATGGCTCGTTGGGACATAAAAATATCTCGCACTTACATAAATTGCTCTGCTCTTTGCTATTTACTCTCCCTCTCTCTTGACCTTTCTCCGTCCCGCCCCACGAAGTCCACTGAAAGGGCCCGTAATTACATAAACACTTTTCCCATAGTCAGGTTAGTTGGATATTTGTTGGGCCAGCGAAACGAAACTTTTACTCCACTCCTCCTCCTGCCCTCTATCCCCCACAAAAGGATGCGAACATAACGCATAACATAAAAAGGGAAATCAAAATTACTTCCTAATTAAGGGGTATATATGTACATATTTACATATCCAGGCTTTGAGGTGGAGAGTCCCTTAAGGAAACTATACAACAAATAAGCATTGGCAGGACTTTATTTATTTAGACATTTAAAACGTCTTCCACCATACAGTTGCTCCCATTTTAGCTGTGTAAATGTCAGGAACAACATTTAGATTATGATGCGTGCCCATCAAAGTCAGCAGCCACACCTACGTACTGTGGGGATCCATAAATAGTACATCAGACACTTGCCATCATCATCCTCACATCATAAGTGCCAACAGCAGGGATACCATCATCCTCCGGCACCAAGGCGAAACACATTCTCCATTATAATTTCTGTCATTCAGCGGCGCACTTCCCACCGACCCGCTCCACACACATATCCCACTTCTGGCTATTTTTATGCCATTTCTGCATTGTTCATTGTTTAGCGCACATTATCGCATTTTCCTCTTAAGGCATCAGCTACAGATACTATTAACATTGCCACAACGCCAGTCTGTCCTCCTCCTATTGCTGCCGCTGCTTCCAGTTGCACTTGCATCCACGGAACGCTGCCAAGTCAATTGTACCCTGTACTCCTCAGACATGTGCTAAATAGGTCTGTCACTATTTCTCAAAAGATGAAGGAAGCACAGAAAAAGATTGTCCTTCATTCGCATCGATAATATATCACCAAGCTGCAATATACAAGTGTTGATAAGATCAATAAGAGCAACCCTTTGGGTAATATAGCTAGGTGAAGATATACCAGAAAAGCTGATATAAATATCCCTTCTGATGATGACCTCTGCTGGTTACATGTTTTGCCACCAACTGGATGTACCCGGATTTCTCTCTGATTTGAGCGTGGATGCGGATAGGTTGGGAAAAGGGATAGCTAAAAGGATGATTCAGATTGTTGCCACACTTCCACACTTTCTGCCCACTAAGCTGCCGCAGTGGGTGTCTCGTGTGTGTGTGGGTGTGGTGGATGGCGGTGGCTGCCACTACTCGTGCATGTGAGCTGGCTGCTATCTCTCTTGGGCACACAAACACTTGGATGCGAAGTGGCTTTTGTGTGTGCGCCGCAATGCACTGGCTACACGGGATTTCTAGCTGGCAATGCCACTGTCAGGATGTCAGGATGTTGGGATCTGAATTCGAAAACAATGGACCCATTGTGCCACCCGATGATGCTGTCTTCGGTTGCGGCCATTGTAGTTGTTGTTGCCCGTAAACAATTGTCGCCCTGATGCCTGCTCTATGCGCATCAGTAATTAAGTGTCTGTCCCTGGGCTGTGGGTGGGTTGTAATTACCATTTATGGACACTATTGGCAAGAAATGGCACGGAGCTTGGTGCGCATTCGCGTGGAAATCCCAACGCCTGAAAGTAGGCAGCGAATGCTGAAAGTCAGCCTTGGGTGGATGGAGAGAAGGGTTTATCCTCCTCAGTTATTATCTTTACTTTATGCTTCTCATCTGAGCTCGCAAATAAACCTCAACCTCAGCCCTTGTGATCGACCAAGTGATCAACGAAAAGAACAAGTGCGTAAAGGGAAAGCTACAATATCGTATATTGCTTGGATTCTCATCCATAAATCGTGTTAGTTGCTAAATACATGTTTACTGCTGTCCAAAGCTGACGCTATGTTCTTTGAAAACACGTGCATTTGATTGAGAAACAATTTTGGAAAAAATAGATATTAAAATATCATTTTTATTTTGTGATTTTCTTAGGGAGATCGTTATGTACGCCTCCAAATATATATGTATGCATAGGAAGAAATTCTTATTTAATTCCTGAAAATCTTCTCCTAATTTAACCCGACCTCTGCTTACGTTTGTTTGCTGCCACGGTGGCACGCTTTTTGGCTGCCACAGGTGTCGAGGTCTGCTTCTTGATGGGTGGGGCAACTGTCTGGCGCTTCGGTGCCGCCACTGGCTTTGGTGCCACTCGCTTCGGTGTCACTGTGGTGCGTCTCTTGGGCGCTGCGGTGGTTCGCCTACGACGCTTGTTGTTCTTGTTGTTCTTTTTACCGACGGCAGGCTTCTGGGTGGCTGGCTTTGTCGTCGGGGTGGCTACTGGAGCGGGGGTAACTTCACTTGATCCATCACTCGTTTCCGTGGAAGTATCATCTTCCGAACTTTCTCCCGATTCCTCTATCGAGCTGTCTTCTGATGCGCTGCTGTCAGAGCTTTCAGTGCTCACTTCCGAGTCGCTGATAGGATTCCCGTCAGTACCAGTTTGAGCTGAAGTGTCGTCTTCATCCTGATAGTAGTCCTCGGAAGAGTCGTAGTAGTAGTCATCATCATTATAAGAGACCTCCGTTGTACTTTCAGCTGCGAGCACAGAGGCACAGACCATTATGGCCAGGGTTAGCACTAAGAACAATCTCATTTTGTTCGGGATCTTTAAAAAGAATTCAATTCGGGAATTCTAGGCAATGAAATGGGGCTGAGCTCTTGTTATTTATAGGATTTTTAGAGCAGAGATACATGTTCTTTCTGTTATTCTTGTATTTGTTTTAAAGGCTTAGTTTGCTTTTCTTTCTATTGTTCGTAAGCTTTTTAAATAGGGAGCTTTTCTATTGTCTGACCGACCATCTGTGTGTGTCGTTTCTTTGTTCATATTTTTATCATTTGAATCAACTGCAAATTGTTTCTTTTTTGGAACTTTTGTTAAAGCAACGAACGAAGCCAGGAAGTATAGCTTTAGGGTTTTTTTGATAATACCCAAGACCAACAAACCACCAATTAATTAATGAAAATATTGCCATTACGTCAAACAAATCCATAAGACATTTATTCCATTAGTTATTTCAGTTTATTTACCCATAAATGTTTTTATATTTCAAGCATCATAGATCCCACAATAATATTGGTCTAGCGATAGGAAAAGAAAGCTTGTATCGAGACTATTTTTGAGAAGGCAGTTTTGATCTTTCTAGAAACCAACATTTGATGCTTATCAATAAAAAACATTTATAGAACGTAAAATGATTGTGCACATCTCATGGATAATACGTTTATAAATATGCATATGGAATGAAACCTTCCAGAAAACTTTATTTAGATAATTCAATTATTAAATTATTTGTTTCATTATCATCATATTTTTGCAAATTATTTAACCAGAACGCCTGCGATTTTTGGCAGCAACAGCGTTGGTCCGCTTCTTGGCTGCAACAGGTGTCTGCTTCTTGGCTGCTGCTTGCTTCTTGGCTGCTGCTGGCTTCTTGGCCGCCTGCTGCTTTTTGGCCGCTGCAACGCGACGCTTGGGTGCCACGTTGTTGCGCTTGCGAAGGTTGTTGTTCTTCTTGTTGTTATTGCCGGCAGCATTTTTCTTGGGTTTGTTTTGGATTGGCTTTGGCGCTGTCGTTGTCGTCGGGGCAGCAGTGGTGATGTCCGATTCGTCTGAAGTGTCATCATAAGCATCATCCGAACCGTCGCCAGTGGCATCACCATCTCCGCTGCCTTCTACTCCGCTACTGTCTTCATAATCTGCGCTGCCTTCGCTAGTGTCTTCATAATATGCGCTGTCTTCTTCTTCGCCAGTGCTGGAACCGTCAGCCTCATCAGCGTATACATAATCAGGATCGGTCGATGTTTGAGCCACCGCCACATGGGCGATGAGTACAGCCAATGCGAGGAGCAGCAAGAACTTCATTTTGCTTTCTGTTTCGGTTACTTTGAGAACTCAAAATGAGGTTTTTTCCGTTGGGGCTGCTGGCATTTATAGACTGGCCGAAATTTGTATTTTATTTTGCATAGATCTTGAACAAATATTGTGAAACAACATAAAGCACCAATAAGCATTTCTTTTGTTTGTCTTTGAAGCCAGCTGTGTGTGGCTTTCTTTTTTTTTAATTGTACGTTGTCGGGACTTTGTGTTCGAAGCAACTTTTGGATGAAAAAACTCTTGAAACTCAAGGTGGAAATGGTACGGAATAAATCTTGAAAGAGTTACTAGTGGATTCTGTGATTCTGACTGGTCGTATAATTCAACTGTCTTTGAATTACATAATTGGAATGCAGATAATATAAGAAGTTCTTTAGAATAAATACAAATGATTCACCATATTATGATAGTTCTGAGGTTTAGAGAACTGTAACTATTATTATGAATAATGGGAACGCAATGACTCCGCGTCAACTGAATGCTGTATGAGATGATCTTATAAATAGGGCCCCTTTGCTATGAGATCAATCAGTTGCGCTTTAGTCCAGCAGGAGAGGATGCAATCCCAGGCTCTGATAGTTTTATTTTCCCTCCCAACCATCGTCCATGGCATAGCCATTTGGGCCGAGTGGAAAGCTTTCAAAGTGGCCCACAACAAGAGCTATCAGTCGGCGGATGAGCACCGCCTCCGCTTCTTCATTTTCATGGACAACAGACACCGGATAGCCGAGCACAACAAGCTGTGGGCCAGGGGCCAGGAGAGCCACCAGTTGGGGATCAATCAGTTTGCGGATCTGTCGCCCAGGGAGTTCAGGAGAGGACTACTACGTGAAGGACAACTGTCCAAAAGCTTTGGAGATGTCTACATTATGCATCCGGAAGTGGAGCTGGAGGCTCTACCGAAATCTTTGGATTGGCGGACGCGGAATGCTGTGACCGAGGTCAAGAATCAAGGGGATTTCAGCACCTGCTGGTCGTTTGCTGCCACGGGTGTCATCGAGGGTCGTTACGCCATCAAATACGGCCATCTGCAGTCGCTGTCCGAGCAGAATCTCGTCGACTGTTGCCTGGGATCCGAGCGGGGCTACAATACCTGGAGGGCCATGGAATGCATTCAACATCTGGGTGGCATCGACACCGAATCGTCCTACCCTTACCAGGGAGCCGACGACGTCTGTCGCTATCGGCTATCGGCCAGTGCTGCACGCGTCTTCGGTGTCGTGGCCCTGCCCGAGGGCAACGAGCGGATAATGGCGCAGGCTCTGCTTCGAGGTCCTCTTGCGGTGTCCATCAGCTCGAACACCATGCAGTTCTACACGAGCGGCGTTTTCAGAGATTCCTCCTGCAGCAGATCCTTCGATCATGCCGTCTTGGCAGTGGGCTACGGCACCGATCCCCGCTTCGGCGACTACTGGCTGATAAAGAACTCATGGGGCACTCAGTGGGGCGAGAGCGGCTATATCCGCATGACACGCAACAGCAACAACCAATGCGGTGTGGCATCCGAAGCCTTTTATCCCATAGTCTAATCTCAAATTATTTTGCCATAAGAATATTAAATAAAAGCTCAAGATTGATCTAAGACTGAACTAAGCTGCCATTATTGGATATCGTAAGGGATAAGTCATATGTAACCCAATATTAATCAAACTGGAGTATCCAGCTTTGCCATGCCATCTGTTGAGTGGTGCAGAACCCCTTTGCTATCCATAGCTTTTCATTTAATTGTAAAATGATTGATATGATGATTATTTGCCTGCACGAAATGCCCTGCTTATGTACGATTATTTCCATAGCATGCCACACACTGAGAATTTATATGTTTGACCTTTTTTTTTCCGTTCAATTTCAGGCGGGGATAACGAGCAGCAACAGTGGCCTGGCCAGTGGCAGTGGAAGACCAACCTAGATTCAAAGTTCGTGCCATAAATCTTCAACTTGCATGGAATTAATACCCCACCACCAGCAGGAGGAGGGGGTGGCGCAACAGGAGAAAGTCTAGGTGGGGGGGCGTTGCGCATGCAACACACATTAGTGGGTCACTCGAAGATGATGACGCTGATGACCACAACCGCAGAAACAAGAGAAATAACAGCAGCAAAACAAGCAGCCGCCTTGCAGGGTAAAATTATATAAAATTATCATGCAGGACGGGCCACAGCGAGCAGCAGCAAGTCGGCCACTTGACGGCGGCAGGCGGCAGGAAAAGGCTAAGGCTACGCTGCAGCGGAGGGTCGCATGACGTACACGACTGCTGGCCAATTTGTCCGAAAAAGGAGACAAGCGGACCCAACCAACCGAACTTAGCCACTAACCAAGCGGAAACTGCAACTGCAACAGCAACAGAAACTGCAACTGAAACAAATAGAGAAACAAAAGATCAAAAGTGTACCCAACAATTGAAACTTTTCGGCCCGAATGGCAAAAGTTTTCGAACAATTGCCACAGCGTTGGGGCGGGCAGCGTTGAAAAGCGACGCTAAAAATGTCAAAATGGCGAAGTTAACGTTGCCGCGACTTCTGCAGCGACTGCAGCTGTTGGCGTTGCAACTGGCCACGCCCAGCAGCCAGCCGCCACAACATCAGCAGCAGCAGCAGCACCCACATCCACACGGCTGCCACCTAATGGCCATGCAACTCTGTCAGGCCATGCTCCTCTATGGCTGCCTCCTGCTCCTCCATGCGTCTGTCACCGTGTCTGCCTCGGCATCGGCCACGCACACGACGCTGGCTCTGAATCTCTCATCAGCCATTGATCTAAACCAACTTAAAAACCATCCAGGGCAGCAGCCTGAGCATCAACGCGCACAGAAACGTGACGCTGCCAATGTGCCTGATGATGACTACGATGGCAGCTATCCGGATGATATCGACGAACTTGAGGCCTTGCTAAATAATAAGTCAGGTGAGTGTGGACCACACAGCTGACAGCCCTAGTCCTAGGTCTTTTATTACAAAATGCAGGTCAACACTGTGGGTTGGGAGAGGGAGCCTTGGGGCTGGTTGTGTGTTACGAATGTGATTTACAGAAATCTGTACAGACTAAATGATTATATGTACATGCTATATGTGTGGCTTGTACCCCTGTTCCCACTTGGGGCATATATATAGTGTGGGCCAGATACTCGTACCTGGCTCTCTAAAAACTAGTGTAAAAAGTATTATTTGCGTGTTTATTTTCTTTCTTTCTAATATTTTGTTGATACAACTTTTAGCGAGAATTTCGTTGCGTTTCGGTTCGGTTTGCCATGAGTTTTCCTCGCCAAGTTCTAACCGGAATTCCCCAGAGATCATGAAAGCCATAAATTGCACAACATCCAGTCTGGTTGGGCCCATGCTGGTCCAAGGTTTTCTGCTGCTGCTGTTAGGTTTGTTGTTGTTTAACTTTTGGATTTTGGCATGCAGTGTCCCTTCCACCTGGGGACTGCAGCTGCCGCAGCGCTGGGGCTAATGATTCATGGGTACTCATGGGTTACTTTCCATCTATGTATGATGGGGGCTTTACCCAACAGAACCACAACAGAACAGCAGAGCATCTCCCATCAACACAGTACAGTCTGTAACAATATGATGAAGAATAAATAGCAATAAATAATATGATATTTGCATGCTAACAGATACTGAACTTTGTATCGAATTATAAATGCAAAAACTACCCACGTCCTTACAAATCTGCATAACTGCAGGACAGGACAGGACTGGAGAGGACAGAACAGGACTTTGCTGCACATTGATGTGGATTAAATTGCATTATATTTATTATTGATGCAAATGGGTTTTTGTTTTCCGCATTGCAGCAAAGGGCAAGTACATTGGGGCGCCGTGCAACGAGCTGAAGTGCGACGTGAAGCTGCTGCATGTGGCCTGCGACAAGGAGACGCAGACCTGCACATGCGAACGCAACTATCCCGTGCAGCTGGGACTGATAAAGGGTTGCGCCAAACGTAAGATCAGAACTAATTCAATTTTCTTTCACAGGATTAATTGATTCCCCCCACCCCGTTCTTTTGGCAGCTAAAAAACTGGGCGATCAGTGTTTCTACGATGAGACGTGCATCTACAACGATGAGAACTCCCTTTGTGTTCAGGTGCGCCACAATGCGATGTGTCAGTGTGCCAGTGGCTATCATTCGGTCAGCTACACGAAGCCGACACGGCGTGTCTTTTGCACGCCAGGTAAGTTGCAACCTCCTCCTGACTCCTTCTTCACTTCACTTACTCAACGATTTTTCTTTTGCCTTGGCAGATCTCAGCGAGCTGAGCTCGGATCTGCCCACGCTGCTGGGCGTCTCCACGGGCATTGCCGTGCTGGCCGGGCTCATCTGCATGGTGCTGCATCTGTTCAGCAAGACCAAGTATCCCAGGAGCCGCAACTACGCGGATGCCAGCATTCCGCCGCCCATTCTCTACTCCAGCGATACAGGTTTGAGATCTTTGCCGCGAAGGCAAATGAGTGGATTGATTGATTGAGATTCTCTTGCCTCCAGGGATACCGCTGACAGTGCACTCGGCACGGCCATCGTCGCGGTCTAGCATACGTTCGACGGGATCGATTGGCTCCTTTGGACAGCGACGGGCTTCGGTTGGAGGACAGGCGAGCGGAGCAGCAGGTGGAACAGGTGGTGAAGGAGGTGGTGCTGGCGGTGGAGGCGGCGGCGGCGGCGGGTCGAAGGGCATACTGGTGTCGACGTCTCGTACAGGTGCGGCTAGATCGGCTGCCATATTGCTCATATCGTGTCACATAGCGGCCGTGTCCAAACAAAATTCTCGCGCCTCATCGCGTCACACATCCGGAGCCGGTTGCAGCCAGCATTCGCGCGACGATCTCGACGAGAACAGTGGCGGCGGTGGCGTTGGCAGTGCGAGCGGTTGTCGCAGCTGCGAGAGCTCGCACTCGATGAACCGCCAACTGCAGAAGCAACTGAACCATCAGCGGCATCTGCTCAGCTTTGAGCTGTCGCCGGCCAGGTCAAAGAATCAGGATAGATTTAGGACCCTCTTGGGCATGAACGGAATTGATAATAATTATAGAACCCATGACGATGATGACGACGACTACGGTCCCCATAGCATAGATCCCGGCACTGTCCCAGCACACGCACCCACAAACGCCCACGCGCAGGCACATGGCCATGACAGCTATGTCGGTGGTGGTGCCAGTGGTGCTAGTGGTGCTGCTGCTGGTTATAGTTATGGTTATGGTTATGGTTATAGCGATGCCGATACCAATGGCGATACCAACGGCACTGACGGCGCCGAGCTGCATCATTTGCAAATTGGCGCACTCCCCACGCCGGCGAGTGAAACGCCCCGATTTGCGGTAATTCAACTCAATCATCAGTCGTTCAGTCCTCCTTCAATCCAGTCGCTCATCATCATCAACAGCATCAGCAGCCATCGATGCAGCAGATCAGCATTCATATCATCTGCATCTCCCATATCCGTATCCGTATCTGTAACGTGACCACAAAACAGCTCCACATCACAATGGAAACTAATTCTAAATAATGTATCTGTTCTCTGTTCTATTTGCTGCATCCACCACTCTCCCTCTCTCTCAGTTGGAGATAATCGTGCTCCCAAGTGTGTTCTTTACCTTGATGGAATTCTTTTTATCTAAATTCTGTTTGTTACTGGTAGAGCTACAAAATGCATACGATAGAAAGTGTACACTGTTCAGAGACATGTATAGATTCATATTCAATTCATTTATAAATATCATGAAAATCAAATGAAATATCTCTCTGTCTAAAGACACATTTCATGTACCCATTGGATGTTTAAATTCCCGTGAGTTTCTTGCTTATGGTTTCCAATTATGTTAGTAAATTAAATCGTTCATTTTTACAACATTCAAGCATCCACATGTGGGTCAGGGCCCTCTCTAAAATCAGGTTAAATTACTTTTACTTGTGTCCAAATTCATTTAATTTCATTTCACACCCATTTTACCGCCTAACCCTGATCTATATACCCATATCCGAATCAGCGCATTGCTTGCATAATTAGTGTTTAAATCGGTTAAAATTCTATCTCCCGAACTAGTTGAAAAGTGAAACAAAATTTTATGTTCTCTTGATGATCGATGTTAAATGTGCTTTCGAGCTCCCTTCTGTTTTCCAAATACAAAGTTGTTTCTATTGTTATAATTTCTATACTATAACCAGACACACACACACATACACACACACAAACACACACACAGGAATAAATCCAACTGCAAACCGACCGATAATTTCCAGCAAAAAGTGGCAGAAATTAAATGATTTACCCAATGGTAAATATATTCAAACGAATATATCATGGTTACATTTGAGAGGCGGATTGCTACCAATCCACAGATCCACAAAACAATGATCTGATGATATCAATGATACAAAAGATACAACCTCTGACAAGATGATATTGAAGCAATATGGCGGTGACTATGTTCCAAGCAAATCCTTCTCCCTCCCCCCGAACTTCCACATAGCATAACCGAAACACACACACACAATTTTGCCATTAACTATAAATAAAATGCATTGCAAATTAAGAAAATTATGACACACAAAACACACACACACACGAGCACACTTTTTGCATGCCTTGAGGGGTGCGTGCTCCTAGTGCTGCCAGCAGCAGGCACACAGACACTTAGCGGCTGCTGCTGCTGCTGGCAGGGCACGGAGACCCTTCAACTTACGGCTGACCTTTGCCCCAAACAATTTGATTGAGTTCACACACAGACACACCACACAAACACCACACACACAAGCTCTAAGAGACACACCCAATCGATACTTCCACACGATATGGCCACTCCTTCTATCTTCTACCTTCTACTATGTATGTACGTTTGTTTGTTCTTCCCTCAACTTTCTGTGTGCTCGAATGTTCTGCTAGTTTATCCAACTCTACATTTTGTGCGCCTTCAATTCAAAATTCGATTGCGGCTTGTGGCTTTTTGAAACCAGCAAAAACTTCTTTGCCTGTGTGGAATCTATCTCTATCTATCTATCTATCTATCTATTTCTTCCCTGTTCTGAGCTACGAGAGTATAAACGAGTGCGAGGCTACTTCAAAGGCTTGGCTAAAGTCTAAATATATGACTAGAGAAGGGACACCTTAATGAGAGAGTTGTCTGAGCACTAAAGCTATATAGCTTTACCTCTTCTCCGCCTCTCTCTCTCTCTCTCCTGAGCTAATCGTCGCACTCGTTTAGTCTGCTTCTGCTTTTCAATCGCTTCGGAATGAACTGTCGCTTCTTAGCTACTTACTCTATCTTCTCTTTATCTTTCGTAAATGTCTAACTAACCAACTACTCGTATGCTTACTTTCTTAAGCCTCTGCTTCGATATTCAATAAATTTTTTAATACTTGCAATTCTACTACTCCATTCGTATGCATTTTGTGGCTCATCTGGTTTATAATTGTGTACGGTTCGATTGCTTCCTTTTAGGTTCTCGAAGACCAAGTCTAGCATCGGTGCACAGCACGAGCTCATCGGTGCGCAGCTACAGCATGATGCGGTTCGAGAAGGAGACACAACAGAAGGAGATCCGGCAGGAGATGAAGCTGCGGCTGGCCCGGTTGCAGCAGCAGCAGCACCTCACGCAGAACAAGCCGCAAATTGTCATCGGTGAGGCGCTGCTGCAGCATGGGGCCTTGGGTCGGGTAACCATACCCACGCCCAGCCCACTGACGCCCAACTCACTGGACGAGCTGCTGCCGTCACTGGATGAGAATCAGGAGGTGAGTAATGATCACTACGCCCCTTTGTGGTTGAATCTCCATCTCTAAACGCATGTCTATGTATACAGTATCCACCCAGGCTACACGGGACATACAAGCAGCTGGTGCAGCCAGGTACCTCAGCAGGTGGCGGCGGGGGAGCTGGAGCCCTGCGAGCAGCTGCCGCCCAATCGTCTCCGGCCAGTGCAAACGGCTACCATGGTCCCTGCAGCTCATCGACTGAGGCCCTCTAAAGCTAGCCCGGCACCCCCGGGGGCATAAATACATATAAGTATTAAAGTATTCAAGTAGATCGTAAGCCAAAACCCAAAGTTCTCATTTGCTGCTGATTTGCTGTGCTGTTGTAGGGCGCCGATTAGCGAATTAAATTGAACGTCAAACGTGTTGTAGTCAGTCAGCTTAGATTATGTGTAACATAGTAAGCCCCTACCCAATGCCGCCTAAGCAGCCACCCCCCCGTAGCCTAGGCTAAGTTCTGTTACCGACTAAGCGAGTTCGTTCTCCAGTTTAGTAATGTATCATACATACATACATATGCATATGTATTTGTATATGTACGTAGCGAGAGAGTTAATAATCGAAACATTTTATACTTGTGTGTGTATTGTCATACAGTTTTGTAGCAGTTAGATATTTACAAATTAATTCGATGGAATGGCGCATGGGGTCAGGTCCAGGGATCCTTAACAACAACAACAACAACTTCTTCAGCGATTCAGAATTCGAATCCTTTCTCCCCTGACCCCATACGTTGCCATTTGATGGATCATCATGAATTGATTAGTTTAAACAAATTAGTCTCTAGTCTAGTGTCTAGTGTTTATCGTTAGGGTGAGATAGTACTGATAAAATATACGCGAAATGAATTTATAAAATTTATGTTTATGAACAAAAAAGAACAGAACAGAACAGAACAGAACATTGTTCACACGTACCGTACTCCCGATGAAAATGAAATATGAATATGAAATATGAGAAACTATTTATGAATACAGAGACAGAGACAGTAACAGTAACAGGCACAGTCGTTATCTAGCTAAATCAATAATTATGTTAAGCGATAAAACCAAAACAAAATGTTGATCAGACAAAGCTCTTGAGTTGAGTTGTTTGTTGTAGGAGCCAACGTAGAATGGCGAATCAATCGAATCTTTGTGGCAAGTCAATTTTAGTTTACGATTAACGAATTTTTCTACAAAAGGCGTTTCAAATGAATACAATAATCGAATAGATCAAATGTACATACATTTACTTACCCTAGAGCCCCCAATTCGATCGATCGATTTGATTGTAATAATTAATTAACCAACTAATAACTAAACTAACGAGTATTTGATACCATGGGTTGTTGCCTGTAGTTTGGTTCCATGATTTTTTGTGTCCCTACTATCTATACATAGATCTCTGTTCCGTTCCCCAAGAATACAAAAACCAGCTATAGAAGACGTTGAAAAAATACACTATATACACCTAAACCATGCCTACATATACATACATACATACTGTCCGTATATATGTATGTACTTACCTATGCTATACATACATACATATATGTACTTACGAAAGGTAGACAACATATCTAAGGTTCAGTGTTGGTTGCATACGGGAGTAAATAGAAATAAATGCAATTTTGTGTTTTCAAAATCATTCCGTCTATCCTCTCTACCCTCTCTGCGGCGCTCTTTTGTTCCCCTCTACAGCTCTCTGTGATATCTGCAGTGTGTTCTTTATTTGCACAGAAGGAAAAGGATGGGAGGGGCCAAGAAGAGGAACATTTCGAAAAGGAGTTTCAGTTGGGAGAGTTAGTAAGTAAGTAAATTTTCATTGTTCATCAAGATAATCAAGAGCATAATCTAACCCTCTAGTCCACTTCTTCGATAGTGGGGCCACCGCTGCTGCCGCCACCTGTTGCAGTACCAGTTGCCGAACCACCACCGCTTGGCGGCGGCTGTTGCATGCCAGCACTCTGGTAGAGTCGCGTGATGATGGGACTACAGATGCGCTCTAGTTCCTGATGGCGATGCTCGTACTCCGGCTTCTCGGCCAGCTGATTGGCATCCAGCCAGGCGATGGTCTCGCTGCACTTCTGGAGAACCGTGTCGCGGTCCGAGTCGCTAATGCGGCTGCGCAGCTGCTCGTCCTCGAGGGTGGAGCGCAGCTGGAAGCAGTAGCCCTCCAGCTGGTTCTTGGCATTGACGCGATCCCGCTGCTGTTCGTCCGCCTGCCGATACGTATCCGCCTCGTTGACCATGCGCTCGATGTCCTCCTTGGAGAGCCGGCCCTTGTCATTGGTGATGGTGATGCGGTTCTCCTTGCCCGTCGACTTCTCCAGGGCACTCACATTGAGGATGCCATTCGCATCGATGTCGAAGGTGACCTCAACCTGGGGCACACCGCGCGGCGCCGGCGGTATGGCCGACAGCTCGAATTTGCCGAGAATGTTGTTGTCGCGTGTCATGGCGCGTTCGCCCTCGTACACCTGGATGAGCACTCCCGGCTGGTTGTCCGCGTAGGTGGTGAAGATCTGCGTCTGCTTGGTGGGGATGGTGGTGTTCCGCTTGATCAGCGTTGTCATCACACCGCCGGCCGTCTCGATGCCCAGCGACAGGGGAGTCACGTCCAGCAGGAGCAAGTCCTGCACAGCCTCCGACTTGTCGCCATGGAGGATGGCCGCCTGGACGGCAGCGCCATAGGCCACAGCTTCATCCGGATTGATGGACTTGTTCAGCTCCTTGCCGTTGAAGAAGTCCTGCAGGAGTCGCTGCACCTTGGGTATCCTAGTGGAGCCCCCCACCAGCACAATGTCGTGGATCTGGGTCTTGTCCATCTTACCATCGCGCAGCGCCTTGGCCACCGGCTCCATGGTGCCCCGGAACAGGTCTCCGTTCAGCTCCTCGAAGCGGGCACGCGTCACCGAGGTGTAGAAGTCGATGCCCTCAAACAGAGAGTCGATCTCGATGCTGGCCTGGGTGGAGGAGGACAGCGTACGCTTGGCCCGCTCGCAGGCGGTGCGCAAGCGGCGCAGCGCCCGCTTGTTCTGGCCGAGATCGCGCTTGCGCTGGAACTCCTGCACAAAGTGGTTGACCAGACGGTTGTCAAAGTCCTCGCCACCGAGATGAGTATCGCCGGCGGTGGCCTTCACCTCAAAGATTCCGTCGTCGATGGTCAGCACGGACACGTCGAAGGTGCCGCCGCCCAGATCAAAGATGAGGACATTGCGCTCGCTAGTGCCCTGCTTGTCCAGGCCGTAGGCAATGGCCGCTGCCGTCGGTTCGTTGATGATCCGCAGCACATTCAGCCCGGCAATGGCGCCCGCATCCTTGGTGGCCTGGCGCTGCGAGTCGTTGAAGTAGGCCGGCACCGTGACCACTGCATCCGTGACAGAGCCACCCAGATACGCCTCGGCCGTTTCCCGCATCTTGGTGAGCACCATCGAGGAGACCTCCTCCGGGTAGAAGCTCTTCTTCTCGCCCTTGTACTCCACACAGATGCGCGGCTTGCCGTTGTCGGAGACCACCTCGAAGGGCCAGTGCTTCATGTCGCTCTGGACGGTGGCATCGTCGAATCTGCGTCCGATCAGGCGCTTAGCATCTGCAAGTCAGAGCACAGTAATCTCAAATGAAACACCCTCAGCGCACTTGGACAACAGATTCACTTTATTATCTAACACATATATGTATATAGGGGTAGGGCTGGGCAGGGCAGGGCATGGTTCTGGTCTGGGCTGGTATTTGTGTGTTCTTTTGGCAGTTCTGGACTATTATTCTATGCGGTCCCTGAGACTGAAATGAGAGTACAAGAAAAGATAAGAGAAGAGAAGAAGACTTGCATTAGAGCTGCTCCGCAAATCTCTCAACGTAGAGCGGTGGGGAAATGAAGAGATAAATAGAAAAAGATTCTGGAGATCGAGAGGGTTCCAAATGGAGTTTCAAAGGTACATTATATAGGTGTATTATATAGGTGAGGAAGAATGAGCCCCAGAAATATATGAAGAAAATAAGGAGTCTAAATACAAAATCTTTGCTTTGCTTTAGGAAAGGATTTCCCTACTAGTGCGAATTCTTCTACCATTTCCCTAGACATTCCAATGCTGCCCCGACAAGTATTTATGTTTTGCCCGCTTCTCGGACAATCCACAAGATACTGCTCGTACACGCTTCGCACTGAGACTTTCTTTTTTATTTGCATTTATTTGGCTGACACAGATTATGCCAATAAACATGGCAACAATTTTTGTTGGCACATGAGCGAAGGTGGCACCCATTTGGGGCCAGCTAGCAGCCAGCAGCCAAACAAAACCAAGAGAGAGAGAGAAGAACTGACACAACAAGTGGATGTGTCACAAAAAAGCAAAGGAGTGGCACCACAGGAGGGATGAGACGGTGCAGAAATTCTCACCAGCTTGGGGAGAAATCTGGCCTGCATTTTGGCGCCAGCAAGTGAGAATTTCTTTAAATAAATCGAGAAACGAGATGATAAACAATATACTCAGACATCTATGCGCGTAATTCATTCATGAATATTTTGCCAGTAATTAAACCAGATCGCACAAACTCAATATAGATCAAGAGCCTCAAGAACAGACGCTGGGACAACAGATATGCTAGATACGATCCGATATATAAAGCAAAGGAAGGGCAGGAGGAAACTCACCGAAGATTGTGTTGCTTGGATTCATGGCCACCTGGTTTTTGGCTGCATCTCCGATCAGACGCTCCGACTCCGTGAACGCCACATAGCTGGGCGTGGTGCGGTTGCCCTGGTCGTTGGCAATGATCTCCACTTTGCCATGCTGAAAAACGCCGACACACGAGTATGTGGTACCAAGATCAATGCCAACTGCTGGTAATTTGGGCATCTTTGCTGCGGCTTTAATTAGACCACGTCAAGGTCCCCATCCGAGCGCAGGCAGGCAGGCCGGGAGGCAGACAGATCAAAAAGAGAGAGAGCGATAGAAAACGAATCGAAAATGAATTTAAAGTCACAGAGAGAACTCTATGTGTGATTACACAATCAATGAGAGGGTGTGAGTAGATGTCTAGATAGGTGTAGCCTCACCCAAATTCCCCTGGGCAGTCTCCTTGGGCGGTCCTAGAATGCAAATCGATACAGGTACAGGGATATGATGAGGAACAGCAGCACAAACGTCAAAACTCGCAGGAATTCGAGCGTTTTCTCTCTTTGCAGCTCCACAGCTCAACTGTTTATTCTCCTTTGGCCACAATGAAAACTGATCCAACTCTCTGTCTGCTGTGGTCTGGTCTGGTTTGGTCTATCGCTCTCTCTTGGGTGTTGGGTATATCCAAATTCTCGATCTCAAAAGATGCACGCGCCACGACTGCCACAAGAAAACTGCCAGTCCCGAATGTTGCGACGCCTGTCCCTTGCCAAAAAGTCTTCAATGATATGATGCTGTGTTTTAAGCAGCAGCATAACCAGAGGTGCATAGACACTTTTGAGTGCAGCCGGTCAGTGGGATGTACATAGGATCTTCAGATTCATTTTGCATATTTCATCAGCATTGATACCTCTTTATACATATACAGATGTGAACTCCTTGCATGTGTCGTGTGCCTGTCGAGCCCATTCCCTGCTTTAATAATATTTCTTGTCAATGGAAGAGTAAACATTCTGCTACGAGTATAGGGTACTTACTACAATTCAAAGTCATGGTTGAACAAATAAATTCTGGCTTACATCAGGGTTAGATGCGGTGCTATGGCTCAATATGGAAATGTCTTGATAGTTCTTCCATTCATTGGGACCTTGGGAAACAGCTGTTTCATCCAAAGCTTGCAGCCAATGAAATACAAAATGTATTTGTTGAGACAACAATAAAGCGCTTAGGCTGCAAATCGATTCGTATAAATACCCATGGCATGAAAGATCCAAGACATTATCCACCGAGACAACAGCAATAATGAAATACTTCGTGATCTGTGCTTTGGCTGCTCTCGTCCTCATTCAGCACGCCTCGGGATTCAAAATCCGGCGCGTTGTCTATGTGGTTCCAGTGACTGCAAGCACTACCACCGCTGCACCCGTCACAGGAAATAGCACGACAGCTGCTTCAACAACAGTGTCAACAACCACAGTGGCACCAATCAAGGTGATATACTGCTCCTGGAAGAACAATTGGTGTCGTCCGGCCTCGAACACGGTGCTCAACTGCAAGTGGGGCATCTGCAAATACACTGGTTAAAAATGTTACTGCTATTGATAGTTAAATTTACCCAAAACGGAAATAAACAATCTTCAAATATATTGTAGCACAAATTTTCTTGGTTTTTTATTTTTATTTGAAAGTCTGGCTTGGTCAAAAAAGACTTGCTGGAACGGTTGGTTTTTATTCTTATTCAAATACGATGGCCAATCCCGGACGTATCCCGACCAGAACTGACCATTTTGCGGTGTAGGGGTTCATACGAAAGCGTTGGCAAAAATAACTAATATGTAGTCCATAGTGGGTCTTAGAGGCTAACTAAATTCGATCCAGGAAAATCATCACCTAATCGGGTTAAAGCTTATAAATGGGTATACAGAGTATGTACTTGGAGGAGGCTTTTGGTTGGGCTAGTAATGTTAATACGATGGAGAGGGGAGATGGATGACTGTCATGAAAATAGGGTGAACCAATACAATACATTTGGTTAAACTAAGGCTACATTAGTGTTAGGCCATGACTAAACTTAACTTAGGATATGCATATGTGTGATGTGAAGCTCGCCCCAGAATTTATACTTTTGTTTTTTTTTTGCATAGCTAGCAATTGATTTTATTATGCCATTTCGCGTGGATAGCTACAAACATATTAGTTTCACTTTCAACTTAAAATTCTTTTAACTCAAAATTCAAAATACGAAATTATTATGATCGTTTTTCTATGCGAGTTGGGGGACAATTTAGAATTTTGAAATATATCAAAATAGAAAAAGTTGATAAGCCCTCTCGTGTAAATATCTGAGTAGACAATTCATATTTGATGTCGTTTAGTATTCTTTATATTGTTTATACTTGCAAATATATATGTGATAATGTTATACAGTAATAATATAAGTTCGATTTATAACACTTTTCGTCAATACTCTTGTCTTAGAGTTAGGTTTCTTTTACTTTCTTCGTTTTATTTCGATCTTTTTCTTTTTTTTTTTTTAATTTGTGTGGTCCAATTCGGCCACTGAGCAGAGCTTATTGTATATTTGTATTAATTATAGTAATCTTTATTCGATTTTGCTTCTTCTCTAACTTTTGCAGCAGCACTCAAAACGCTCCACAGCAAATAACGTTTATAGAATTTTTGCATTGATTTTACAAAAATATACAGCTATTTATCCTCATCTCTCGTTTACAATCTTCTTTCTCTCTTTTCAATCGTCACTCTATTTTTCTTCTTCTTTCGTTTATAATAATTTGTAAGGCAAAGTTCGTGTGTATTTGTTCTATATATTAGGGTATATGTTCTGTTTATGTGTGTCTGTTTTATGTTTTATAAGTCGCCATGTTCTCTGGTTCTTTTTCAACTAAATGCATTAATTTTTGTAACATTAATTCATAAACATAAATGCTAGTGTTTCGAAATCACTAGGCATGTGGATTATTCGGAAATGTGGTGTGGGGAGGTTGATGGATGGATGGATGGTACATAAACACATAGAGAGCGGAACAAAGACCACAAAAAAGGAGAATTCACGGATACGGATACGGAAACATGGAAATTAGTAACAATCGGGAGGGGGGGAGGTGGCAATCCTAACGCCTAACAATGCTGGAGGGTCGTGGCAAGCCACTGCGTTTCATTTGGGAGGGCTGCCGCAGTCCCGACGGCTTCGGTATTCCCGTGCCACCCGTTGTCACTTGCGTCAGCTTTGAGGTGAGCACCTGGGTATCGAACATGTGTGAGGGATTCGGCTGAGGAACATTTCCGCCATTGGAAGCAGCAGCAGCAGCCTTGCTGTTGTCCTTATAACAATAGAGACTGCCGCGCGAGGAGGCAGACGAAAGGCTCTGAAAGGTACAACAATTTGAAAGTTATCAAAACATTTAGATAGCAGAATGATGTTAACTAACCTCTGGAGTTTCTGCTTCTGGAGCCACCTTAACGCTAAGGCTATAATATCCCGACGAGGGACGGGCCAGCCCATTGCCCACAGTTCGTTTTGCACCTGCCATCGGAGGGCCACGCAATCCGCTCACCAATTTGGGCACCTTGAACACCGCTGCTTCATCCTACAGGAGAACATTCCACACAAGAAAAAACACTCATCAAAATATGTCCCACTGAGTCTGCCAATCTATGTACCCACCTCCTGTGCCTGCATTGGTCCACGCAGTCCGCTCATTAGCTTGCTGGGCTGTTGACCAGGCCGGCGCAGTCCGCCACTCAAACTAGGCCTGGGAGCACCAATGCCGCTCATGGTGGAGGATAAATTGTGGAAAGACTTGGATTTAATGCCCATGGGACTCTTCAGCTCGCCACTCGATGTGGCTGCCACTGTAACCGTAGTCGTGGCAGCAGCTGCTGGCGTGGCATTCAATCCAGCTCCGGCGGATGTGGCCTTGCTAACCATTGAGAACTTCTGCAGGCCGCTGATGTAGCGCGGTCGAGAGAGGGAACGCGGCTGGGGTAGAGTGGAGGCGCTGGTGGAGTGGGATTGTTCCGCTATCTGCGCCTCCTGCGGCACCTGACGACGATTGAGCAGAGATTTCTCTTTGGGCTTCTTATAGGTCAAATAGTTGCTCGAACTATTTTCCGCTTTGTTGCTGTTGTTGTAGTAGACGGACGGGTTCTGATCTCGCCGGGACAGGCGACCTGGCGGAGAGCCCTGTCTCTGCGATGGCAGATCCTCCCCATCAGCTGTCTGTTCTTCCGGCAACTGCTGCTGGGGTTCATCGTCTATACAAGGCACTATTATCTCCTGCTGCGAATCATCGCGCATCCGCATTTCCTTCGTTATCTTGATAGTCTTGAAACGATCGCGGTCTCGCTCACGGCGCTCGGCCAGCTTATAGCTGGTCGGGGAATCAGTCTGCTGCTGCTGCTGGTCCTCCTCCGGCTGCTTGGGCATTATGTCCGGCACCGTCTGTTCCTCTTTTGGCACCTCCCTGCGCTGCACTATAAACGATGAGGAGTTGCAGCTGGCAGAGCTTCCGTTGCTGCCATGCATGACACTGAGATTGACATCATCGTAGAGGCGACTGCGACGGCTCAGGAGACGCTCTCCTGCACTGCTGCTGCTGCTGTTGTTGCTGGCGTGACTCTGGTTGAGGGTGGGGGTGGTCTCTAATTTTTCCACTTTCTCCCCCTGCTGCTGCTGGTGTTGTTGCTGTGGTTCGGGCTGCTCGCTAGCTTCCACCTCCGGCTCATCCCTGTGAAAACGTCGCTTGATGGTGTCCAGAGATTTCTTCATCTTCAATTGAGTTTCATTCAGGGCATTCACCTTTCCCAGCTCGGCCAGCATGTGCTCGAATTGCTCTTCATCGCCCTGCTGGGCCAGCATTTCCACCTCAGCCTCGGCCAGATCCATCACGCACTGCATCTGCCTGTGCTGCTCGGACATTTGTAGGCTGTAGGTTCCATCCAGCGGCTGTTCGATCTGCTCCAGCATCTCCATTGTGTCCAACACAAACTTTTGCCCATCGAATGGCGCCGCTACCTTGGGCACCAGCTCAAAGGTGTTGTTCAGTCGAACATCGGTCTTCTGAGGCGTGGTGCCTACGATGGGTGACAAGTTCATATCTACATCAACCATGCCGCCTCGCCCCCTGAGTGTGGGCGTGAACCCTTGCTTGTTGTTGTTATTGTTGTTGTGGTAGTAGTGGGAACGGATGTTTGTCGTCAGTGGCGTGGATGATTCCATTGTAAGAGCGGCCAGCTTCCTGTCGATATTTTCAGGCGTCTCGCACCGGGCCTCTGGCGTATTGCAGTCATCCGTGAAGGTTGTGTTCATCTGGCGACCAGCCAAGAGCAGCGTCTCATCCGAGGGAGCGGTGACCGAAGTAGAATTCGGAGCTGGCGGCGCCGCCACCCGCTTGAAGGTGGCATTGCCATCGATCGGAAAGGATTCAGACTCGGACTGCTGCATGGGCGTGCAAGTCGTAAGACTATCCACCAGATTGAACGTTGTATCGCCGATCATTTCCTCGGCCAGGACCATGGCCAAGGCAGGTGGATAGACAGTAGGGACAGGAGCCATCAGGATGGTGCGATCTGCGGCCATAGGATTGGACATGCTCTCCGTGCTGTTGTCCATTGTACTGCAGCCAGACGCGGTCTTACTCAGTGTCAGCGATATTTCATCGATCTGTCCAATGTGCGAGTCCTTGATCAGAGTGCCATCCTCCTCACACATTGTCAGCGATTCCAGGGCCTTGCGATCTCTGATCATGTCACTGAGCGTATAGCCGCCACCTCCATTGACCAGTCCACCGTTCATACCGTTGTCCGTCTGGTTGGTCAGAGTGGTGGTAAGGCTCATTTCCTGTTGCAGGCTGATTGTGGATTGGAGAAAATTGAGATTGGTAAAGTCCGCGGAGGTGATCAGCGAGTTGTTCATTCGCTCCGTGTTCATGGAAGAGCAAATGGAAGACGGCGGCGATGTGTCCTGCAGGAAGGATTTATGCATGTTTGTGGTGACCAGACCGCCAATTTCCAGCTGCAGCATCGTCGGTACACCGCTAACCGCTCCTGTGTCAGCTCCACACTCGTTGATTGATGATGCATTTTGGGTCTACAGATGGGATGAGATGGCATTAGATGGGAAATAACATTGGCATAAAGAATTCAAGAGAATTAGTACTCACGAAATCCAGATTCCGTCGCTTGGGGCGGGTGAAGGTCTTCGAGTTGTGTTTGTAGGCTTTGTAGGGGAATAATACAAGTTGTTGATTTGGATTAGCTTCTATAGGATTGATTGGATGAACACTGGCGACTTCTTATTTGTATTATTTCTATTACTATTATTATGAGTGAGTAATGAATTATAATTATAATTATAGATCACAATCGGTAAACAGCACATCCTCATTGATGACGAGCTCATCGGAATCATCGGACAATAAAGTTTCATCGATCTCTTGTTCCAAATACGAAAGATCATTTTTTTCTGATTGCTGGGTAGCTGCTAATTGAGACTCGGGAAGTGGGATAGGCACCAGACGGGGCATAACATCGAGTTCATTTATTTCTGGAGGCATGATCGGAGCCTCTTCCATTTCCTTGAGTACAGTATCTTCGCCCAATCTTTCGAGAGTTATTGGCATTGGGGGTGATGCCACGTTGATGTTCATTTGTTCCACAGCCATTTCCAGGGTGTCCAAGCACTGAGATTCTTCTGGGTCCAAATGTTCGTCCATAGTCTTTTCCTCAATAGGAGGAATGATGCAAAGCATATCGTTCTTTATCAACCAGACATCAGATGATTCTTGCTGTTCCAATACAAAGTTGCGCTGGAAGTGACGTAGATCACTGCCAGTGGGACTGTGCTCCATAAAGTGGCCAGTCGTTGTGACAATGCGCACGTGAGAAGTGAGCACCTGGACTTCTACAGCGGCACCTTGGAGGTAGGTTTCCATCTTGGGCAAGCGACCCAGGGCATGCACCACAGCATTACGACCAACCTGCAGTTTTGCCGAGCGGGCAAATTTAGACTGTGTGGTCTTGTAATTACGATTGTAGAGCCTGTACGCACAGACCTGCTTCATCGTCTCTGGCACACTCAAGGAGAACGTGGCTCCCTCATGGTAGTGTTGCTCCAGCTGGGAGCGGTGGTTGGGACGATCGAAGAACTGGTAGAAATGCTTAATAAAGTTATTGGCAAAGAGGCGGACATTGGGCTCTGTACTATCGAATAGCTTCAAATTTGGCAGACCCATCGTCACGTTCTCCTTGTACTGCGTTTGGAAACATCCCTGCACGTTCTGGAGTCGGGGAAGAATGGTAAGAATCTCATCCAGCTTTAGCTTAGCCATCCCATTCCCCTGCAGTATTATATTCTTTAATTTCAGATTGGCCAGAAATTGGAGATCGACCACATCGCGAATATTATTAGAGCTAATATCCAGGCACTCCAAGCCGGCTAGCATTCCATTGGGAATAATACTAAATGCCTTCAGCGAGCACAAGTAGTTGTCGCTGAGAATGATTTTAAACACCTTGGGCATCTTTTTCAATATTAAATGCAGAACGCACTCCAAAAACTTTTCCACGTACAAAGGGCAAAAGTGTGGGCCCAACTCCGGCTTGGCGTGAAAACGCGAGAGGTTGAGAGTGCGAGTGGCGGCATCGTAAGAGGAATGCAGTGCATCTATGGCAGCCGCTATGAACTCGGAAGAAATTTCAGCATTCAGAGTGTGTTTGGGTAAGCCCTCAATCACGCGTATTTGAATGTTCTGGCAGCTGAAAACTAGGTTGAGTTTATCCCGCAGCCTTTTCAAGCGATTGGCACTCAAAAGGTTGTCCAACGCTATTGATCCGCGAGCGCCGTTGTCCTCTGAACCGCTGCGCTTGAAGTTGAACGGCTCGAACGTCTCCGGCGTGACGAGATATTTCAGAGCCAGGAAAATATACGCGTCAGCAACGCCCTCACAATTTAATAATTCCACAGTGGACCAACTCACAATGGTTTTGTTAGTCGTCCGGTACTGACTACAAATGCTATCCAGCTTTTTGAGAATGATTGAGGCAGTCACGTGCGAAGGTGCGGACATCAGAACTTGTATGTACTCGTTCAGAGTTTCCTTGTCTTGAAAGTTTTTCTTCAAGTCGTTCAGGGCGGTTCTCTGGTGCGCCTTCATTAGCACACAACGGAGATCGCCTGAAGCATTTCTTTTTTCACTAGTTAGAACCTTCATCGTTTATTTTATTGAATCAAAAAACGTGAAATTGAGCAGAGAACTGGTGTCGTAAAAGAAAATACAGATGTGTGTGTGTATGTGAAGATTGCTGAAATTACGGTTATTGGCAGGGTTGACAAATTCCAGCAGGATGCTAATGCATGGTCACACTTAAGGCTCCTAAATATAATTATCGGACAAGCAAAGTATTTTAAAGTTCAATTTAAAATCACGGTAATGGTGTTATGCCAGTACTCTTCAAAATAAGGAAATGGGACTATGGGGAAAAATGGGCAGCTATAGTTTGGATTTATAGTCGATCTGATGGCGGAACAGCAATCTATCATATGTCTTTGACACTAGTGAGGATCTGAAGTGTAGTAGAATAACACCATAAATGTGGTACCATTGTACCTTCTTTGCCTTGAAGCGACCGCGTTAACGATTCTCAATCTGATTACGCGCATTACAAGCAAAGATATCGATTTCAAGTGCTGTCTCGGGTGCTAGAGTTGTTGTTCTTGATCAAATCGTATTATTGTACAGGAAGTAAATCAGATTCATGAATTATTTACTTATTACACAAGATTCTAGCCATATTTGCATGGCCAGTTTTCCCCAGACCACGCACAGCTGTCCAACTTGTACCGCATATGGATGTGACGGCGTGTGAGTGTATGTGTGCGTCTGTCAGTTGATTAATTACAGTAACAATAACATTGGCGCTAGCCAAAAATGGCGAAAACAACTTTGACGACCACAGTATGTACGGAAGCAAGTGCGGCCCACTTCATATAGTCCAAATATTGTCAACGCAGCCGCCAGTTTAACCCAAATTTTGTTTTTAGAAAGCGCAACTGCACATGACTGCATGGACATGTGTACACAATCGTACATATTTACATGTGCGTACGTGTGTGTGAAATGCACTATGCATAGGTATGTATAAAAGGCTTACCCTGCTCATTGTTGTACTGCGGCTGATTATTCGTTTTCCACTGCTGAAGTATGTTGGAGACATCGTCGTGGTTCTTATCCGCCAGAAATCTGCCAAGGAGTATCATAAGTATTTATAGCATGATGTCTCCTGCTCAGTCCGTGCTGTGCCAGTAGCAGCAACAACAGCACCACTGCATCACTTACATATATGAATCATCCTTTAATGCCTCATCGATATCCAGTATATCCATGTCCAGCGTTGAGTACAACTTTAGGCTTAGCTTTAGACACTTTGTAGCAAATACACTTAAATCATTGCAAGAAACGACAACATAAACCCTATCTATGGTCGTTTCTCTGTTTGGCCAATACAAGATATAATTTGCTCAAAATATAGAGATGTGTGTGTGACCCGTTACCTGTTACTTGTCACGGATATTTTTAAGTAGTGAGTCACGACCATAATTGAGAATTAAAATATGTATTTAGAGAATTAATAATATTTAATAAGTAATGCAGAGTTTATGCATGAATCTTATTTTTATACAGCAAACATTCACCACATTTGTATTCCACTTCACTTCAATACCGGTATAGTATGTTGTTGTTGGTTTGTTCATATACGGCATATATTTCTCTCGGTCATTTTGCATACTTTTGGAATACGATTTGCATATATGGTCTCAAAGTCTTCAATTTAAAGGTAGTGTATTGGAGTACGAACATTTGCAGTCACGGATACTTTTACGCTATCGGTGACAACAGATATTCCTCCAACTATCGGTATGTTGGTGCGCAGCTGACAACCATATTAATGGGTTCAAATACGTTCACACTGCCATTGCTACATACCGTAAACATTCGCTATTTTTTGTTTACAATTGAAACCCTTCAAAAGAATGAAAAGTCCCACAAATTCCAGCATTTCGCAACAATGTCGCTTCTGTATGAATACCACGGTAACATCGGTGGACATCTTCGGCAAGGAGACTACGGAGTCCAGCATTTCGGAAATGTTGAATGGTCTCTTAAGCGAGGACTGTCAGGTCAAACGGGATGAACTGCCGCAGTGTGCCTGCCTGGCCTGTATACTGGCCACTAAAAGTGCCTTTAGCTTCAAGATGAAGTGTGAGGAGAGCTATCGATTCTTGTCTGAGCTCCTGTTGATAAACAGCTCCACGCACGTTGCAGAAAAGTTTGACGACGGAGATGAAAGGCCACCCAGTGAGATATCCTTTGAAGAGGCTGGTGTTGAAGGACAGCTAGATACAAAGAATGTATGGTCAGAGTCGCACGAGGTGGAGGATCGACTTGAGTTGACAAAGGATACCGGTGCCCAGGCTGAGGGAAATCAGGGTAAGGGCGAAGCAAACGTCGTCAAATTTTACTACAATGAATGCTCTTGGTTGCAGAAATACAGAGGGATATCGAGGAGCTATCTGAAATGAAGGAGGAGCCAGACGGATTGCGAGATGCGATCGTTTCTCTTCAGACGCATTCGAGGACAAATCAATCAACATATTTTCTGTGTTCCGAGTGTGGTTTGACTCTGAAGTCGAAATACTCGCTGGCCCAGCACATGGCCGGTCACAAGAAACAGTTGGAGCGATCACATCTTTGCGAGACCTGCGGCAAGGGCTACAGAAGCAGTGCTCAATTAATAATTCATAAGCGAACGCACACCGGCGAGCGACCCTACCAATGCAGCCGCTGCCCCAAGACATATTTCCAGAGCACGGCTCTCAAGGCTCATTTTATTACCCATGGCAAGGAGCGTCCATATAAGTGCTCACAGTGCCAGAAAGCATTTTATCTGCCGAGGAATTTGAAAGACCACCAAAAGCAACACAAGGGAGAGCGACCCTTTCAATGTGCCAATTGCCCTTTGGCTTTCACCAAGAAAGCCAACCTAAGGACACATATGCGACAGCACACAGGAGAGCGACCGTTCAATTGCGACATATGTGGCTTGACCTTTGTACAGAACCAGCATCTAAGAACCCATCTTCGTGTCCACAATGAGGATCGTCCCTTCAAGTGCACTGACTGCGATAAATCATTTTTCGTTAGCGCCAATCTAAAGAAACATCTCCGCGTCCACACCGGCGAGAAGCCCTTCAAGTGCGCTGTTTGTGGACAGGACTTCAAGCACAGTCATCATCTCAAATCCCATGTTCGCAGTCATACGGGCGAGCGGCCCTACAGGTGTAACGAGTGCGAAAAGGCCTTCGCCTCCAACCAATCGCTGCAGAAACATATTGTGTGGCATGCGAGCAATCGAGATCGGGCCCACAAGTGTTCCGACTGCCCCAAGGGCTTCGACAGCTTACGCGGCCTGAAATATCATATGCGTTTGCACAGGTCCTCGTCCCCGTCAAAGGTGGAAGTACTGCACACGTGCACGATCTGCAACCTGAGCTTTAGCCTGCAGAAAGCCATGGAAAGACACATTGCCATCCACAATAAGGACCTACAAAGTATTGACAATAGTCGCAGCTTCAGAAGCACAAGCATTCACAAGGATCTTGATGGATAGTTTTATACTATAGGTTTGGATTTTGAATCGCTACATTTTTGATTTTGACCAGATTTTTTAGATACTACTTTTCACGGACTATTATTTTAGCTCCGGGACGAGACCCGAGGAAATCTTCAGCCATTACAGGCATTCTGTATAAACTAAAAAGGGAAAGAACAAAGCGCTAACACGAATTGCTTATAAACAGATCTACAAGAACAAAAAAAAAAAATTGAATTAAATAATTGTATAATAAAAGTGTATAAAATTAATGAATATTGTTAAAAAGATTTGTGTAGTATAGTTCTGTGCATATCCATTGCAACATGGCCGCCGTCATGGTTCGCCCAGCGCTCCTGTTTTTTGGCTCTGCGGCGATTAAAAGACAGATTAGATGGGAAACAACTAGGGAAAATAGCAATTTCGTATGGAATACGATTCTAAGCAATTTGATGTATTTACCTACATATGTATATACATATGACAAATGAGTGATATATGAATTATAATAATCAATTACATAATAGAACGTCGTCGTCCAAACTGATACATAGTAGATCATCTTCAGAATTATCAAATACGGTATCATCGATCTCTTGTTCCAACTTAATATCATTTAAATTAACTTCTATTTGGGGCTTGGGAATGATTTCTTTATCATTATTCGAATTTGAGGGTGGGATAGGCACCAAACGAGGCATAAGCTCGTTTTCCATTTCTTTTGAATGCATTATCGGAGCTTTATCTATTACAGGCGAGTGGCTTTCTTTAGTGAACGAATCCATTTTCATCAATTCCTTTAACATATCATCGTAGGATTTTTCATTACTATTTGCATTTGAAGGTATCATTGGGTACTTATGGCCATGATTGTTGATGCTCATTTGCTCCATGTCCTCTTTAGCCTTAATGTTCTCATTAATAGGATTTTCCTCAATGGATGGAGTGATGCAGAGCATATCGTTCTTTATCAACCAGACATCAGATGATTCTTGCTGTTCCAATACAAAGTTGCGCTGGAAGTGACGTAGATCACTGCCAGTGGGACTGTGCTCCATAAAGTGGCCAGTCGTTGTGACAATGCGCACGTGAGAAGTGAGCACCTGGACGTCTACAGCGGCACCTGGGAGGTAGGTTTCCATCTTGGGCAAGCGACCCAGGGCATGCACCACAGCATTACGACCAACCTGCAGCTTTGCCGAGCGGGCAAATTTAGACTGTGTGGTCTTGTAATTCCGATTGTAGAGCCTGTACGCACAGACCTGCTTCATCGTCTCTGGCACACTCAAGGAGAACGTGGCTCCCTCATGGTAGTGTTGCTCCAGCTGGGAGCGGTGGTTGGGACGATCGAAGAACTGGTAGAAATGCTTAATAAAGTTATTGGCAAAGAGGCGGACATTGGGCTCTGTACTATCGAATAGCTTCAAATTTGGCAGACCCATCGTCACGTTCTCCTTGTACTGCGTTTGGAAACATCCCTGCACGTTCTGGAGTCGGGGAAGAATGGTAAGAATCTCATCCAGCTTTAGCTTAGCCATCCCATTCCCCTGCAGGATTATATTCTTTAATTTCAGATTGACCAGAAATTGGAGATCGACCACATCGCGAATATTATTAGAGCTAATATCCAGGCACTCCAAGCCGGCTAGCATTCCATTGGGAATAATACTAAATGCCTTCAGCGAGCACAAGTAGTTGTCGCTGAGAATCAGTTTAGACACCTTGGGCGTTTTTTTCAATATTAAATGCAGAACGCACTCCAAAAACTTTTCCACGTACAAAGGGCAAAAGTGTGGGCCCAACTCCGGCTTGGCGTGAAAACGCGAGAGGTTGAGAGTGCGAGTGGCGGCATCGTAAGAGGAATGCAGTGCATCTATGGCAGCCGCTATGAACTCGGAAGAAATTTCAGCATTCAGAGTGTGTTTGGGTAAGCCCTCAATCACGCGTATTTGAATGTTCTGGCAGCTGAAAACTAGGTTGAGTTTATCCCGCAGCCTTTTCAAGCGATTGGCACTCAAAAGGTTGTCCAACGCTATTGATCCGCGAGCGCCGTTGTCCTCTGAACCGCTGCGCTTGAAGTTGAACGGCTCGAAAGTCTCCGGCGTGACGAGATATTTCAGAGCCAGGAAAATATACGCGTCGGCAACGCCCTCACAGTTTAATAACTCCACCGTGAACCAACTCACAATGGTTTTGTTAGTCGTCCGGTACTGACTACAAATGCTATCCAGCTTTTTGAGAATGATTGAGGCAGTCACGTGCGAAGGTGCGGACATCAGCACTTTTACATACTCGTTCAGAGTCTCCTTGTCTTGAATTTTTTTCTTCAAGTCGTTCAGGGCGGTTCTCTGGTGCGCCTTCATTAGCACACAACGGAGATCGGCGGGGGAATTTATATTTTCGCTTCTTTGTGGAACTTTCATCGTTTATTACACGCTTATTACAAAGTAAAAACAAAGTTAAAACTGACCTAGCAAAAATCTGCAAACATTTGAGAGCATGCTACCGGAAGTATGTCGGAAGCGTGACAGTGTTAATAAACGTCAGAAGCGTCTCCTTATAAAAAACGGTCACATTGAACATACATAACTGTACATACGAATAAATCGTACGTTAAATTAAATTCTATTGGATGTATCCCGCGCTGTTCCAAACAAAATCCCTAATAAGTATACGAAAAAACTCTGTAGAGGGGGAAATTGATAGTTCCATGAAATGCGTATCTTATTTCTGAATATATCGGTATATTTATTTGTTTATTGGTAAGTTATGTTAATTAAACAATCTAAAATGTTCAACTTTCCGTTTCATTGTCCGTTCATTAAGGCAAGTTTTGTCTGTTGCACAGTTTCAATTATCAGCTGCGCTCTTTTCAGTTGCCAGTATGAAAAATACATACACATATTCATAGTATCTGCTATAACATAAATGCTTCACTTACACTTAGATTTGCTTACGTACAGTTTCTGATGTATCGCCACAGTTCCATCCTCTATACCCTGTTGTCTCAAGGGAAAATGTTGCGATTCATCAAAGGCAAAATGTGTAAACGTAAACGAGCTTTTAAAGCCCGCGAACAAAAAGGCGCGATATGTTTTCATTTTTGATTATCAGTTAACAGTTAAGAAGGAATCGGGATAAACTAAAACGGGGATAGATAGATTCAGAGGGAGGAAGAGAGAGCATACACGATTTGTGTCTAAACATAGGTACGAGAGTACGGTTACAATTATAATAATTATCGTATAGTAATCATATCGAATAGTATGTGGTAAGATTTTTTTAAAATTAATAAAGCGTAATTAGACAGATTTCACTACGAACAGAAGAAGGGCGATGCGATGCTGCTTCAATTTACATACGAATAACAATCAATCAAGTACATACAATATAAATACAGATACAGATACCGATAGATTTCTATGTCTATGTCTATGCCTGGGCTCTCCTTTTGTGTGTGTGGTTGGTTGTGTGTATAAATATTAAAAATATATAGCTTATTCACTGCACTCTCTACATTAAGAATATGAGAGTTGCATAGACCTTCCAGCGCGTCTTCAGGTTTGTCCAATTACCGCTGAAATAAACTCCAGAGCTTGTAGCTGGACACGCGCTTGGCCAGGTTGGCTGCTGCACTGCTGCTGGGCGGAGGCGTGGAGGCCGTCTCTGTGGCCAGGGCACGACGATTGTTGATCAGCTTGGAGCGCATCTGCTCGTCGATCAGCTCATGCATATCCATCTGCCACTGCTCCAGCTGCTGCGAGAGCTCAACCTTCTGCTGGATGGACTCCAGCAGCTGGCTGTTGGCCTGCATCAGTTCGACACGGGTCCTGGCCAGCTCCACCTCGGCCTTGGTGCGTCGCCCGTTGGCCGCATCGCGCTCCGTTTGAGCCTTCGTCAGCAGCTCATCCCGATTCGTATCGTCCTCCAGATCCCCGCGTGCCTGATCGCGCTCTTCCTTCACATTCTGCAGCTCTACATCGGTCACCGTCACCTTAGCCTCCAGTTGCTGTATCAGCTGATGGCTGCGCTTTATCTCATCCTCCTGCTCCAGAACAAGGTTACGTGTCTGGTCCAGCATCTTCTTGAAGTTGCCCGCATCCAGGTTGAGCAGCAGACGCGTCAGTTCATCCGACATGGCCGAGAGCATACCCTGTCGGAAGTCAATGGCCATGTGCCCGCTATCATTGCGCTCTGTGCTCGAGATCGTGTTGTCCATGGACTCCAGTTCCAGCGATATGTCAGAGTTGAGACCTATGCCCAACAAAATGCTGTTAAATGATGTGCAGAGGATGGAATTGACGTTTCTGGTACCCACCTGAGTCATCGTCATGGCTCACTTTCAGCGAGTCCACCAGGGACTTGATTTGTATGTAGACGGAGCGTGCCTCCACCCACATATGATTGGGCTTTCCCGTTTCCGTATAGCTGCCATCGTCGTCGTCGCACTCCATTTCAAATTGCAGACTCTTTTTTCCAGGCATGCTGGAGCTAGTGTCCTGCAGGTATGAGGTGGGGATTTGAAAGTGAGTTAGTATTCTGTTCGATTCTGTTGCTCTGTAGCTGGGATGAGAGTTGGTTAATTTCCATGGAACATTTTGGAGAATTTAGTTGGGGGTTAGTAACGCTTAATGGTTGGTTAGTTCATGTGACTGTGGAGGTAGAAGGTCAGAACTTACGGCGCCCAAGCGTTCGCTAAGGACATTGTTCTCTCGCTGGGAGCGTTCCAACGCCTGCAAGGTGGTCTGTAAATAAAAAATATACAAACATACATAAGTAAGTGTGAATGCACATCAAAGTTCGTTAATATTTATAGAATGGAGTTTAATCTGTACTGGGAAAAAAAAGAGCAAAAAGAAAGTTCTGTTCTTTGCCTTGGAGACGATAAGGCTTTCAGGCACTTGAAAAACTGCGCAGTGGGTGCTTTTGGCTCATAAATAATCTTCAGTCAACTCCAAACTGATCACGATTTCGCTGCTGGGACGTGATAAAGCCAATTCTGATTTGTTGTCCCCCTTTCTTTCTTTTATTTTATTTTCTTTTCTTTTTTGTTTAGTTTCTTCTATTGGCTCACCTCTAATTTTGTTTCCTGCTCGCGCGCGTGTCGCTCCAGCATGTGTATTCTATCGGAGGCCTCCTCCAGCGATGAGGTGAGGCTCTCCTTCTCCTCCTGGGCGTGCTGCAGGCGACGTTCCAGCTCCTGCCGCTTGCCGGTGGTGAGGTTGAGTTCGGTTTTGATGGACTCCAGGCTGTTGACATGGTCCTGGCAAACAGATTCGGCATAAGTTAAGGGCTGTAGGGCTTTAGATTGTCTCATTTCCTCCTCCTACTAACCTGCAGGCTGCTGTTCCTGTAGTGATACTGATCCTTTAGCTCCTGTATCTGTGCGCTGAGTTTTAGTTCGGTAGCATGGGCCTCCTGTATCTGCTCGGTTAGCCGTGTATTCTGGTGCTGCAGCTCGTCAATCAGAATGGTCTTCTCCTTCTCTGCCTGCCGAATGGCCGTGTCCTGGGTCTGTAGCTTCTCCTTCAGCTCGTTGAGATCGGACTGCAGCTCCAGCACACGCTGGTCGCTCTCGTCCTCGGCAATGGCCAGCTTCTGGCGCAGCATATGCTTCTCCTGTTCAAGTTTCTGCAAAGGGCAACAAATGAAAGTTAATTAGAAACTGCTGCACTGCACCAATGTGACACCACTATTGTTAGTTCTATGACGTAGCTATTGTCAATTGTGCAAGGCAAGAGACAATGAAAGTAAGGCAAACAATGTGCACGTAGCAGGCAAACCGCAAGGTTAACGCGGCAGCGGCTCTCATCGCTCTCGACGGCTAATTGTTTAGCTGCTTAGTTATTTGCATTTTCAGTTTTGCGGCAGCTTGGCCGAAGAGCTGGCTCTGCCACTGCCACCAGCACTCCTCCCCCTCACTTAATTTATTTAATTGCGACCCGCCGCCCGCTTTGTCTGCGGTTTTGCATCAGTTTGGCCACAGTGTGGCCACTGTGCCGCAAAACTCCTAATAAAACTGGGGAAACTAACGCCAAACAATGCCAACGGCTCTTGACACCAACAACAGGCCAACAGCCAACACAGCAGAGCCATGTGGCATCGCATCCAAAGCAATAAATTCCCACTCGAATTAAAATGCAATTGAATTTTCACTTCTTCTCTTTTGTTAAGCAGCGCCAGATGCAGAAAGCGGCGGTGTGCAGAAACGAACACACACAAAAACAAAAAACAAAAATAAAATTAAAAGCCCATCAGCTGGCCAAAGAAGTGGAAGGGAGGGGAGCAAACATCGATAGATCTTGCTTGGAACGATAGTCGATCAATACCAGTGCTACCCATCTTGATGTGAGAAACGGCGGTAGCAGCTAATTTGCATAATTGACAGGCAGGCAGGCGCGTATGTCTCTCGTGTGTCTGTTGGGTCGAGGCGCTTGGCTTTTTTTTATATGCCGACCTTTTTGGATCAAGGTTTGCGGAGACATTGAAAATTGCATGCAAAGTTTAATCGATAATTGGACCTTCAATTTGCAAGCAGTTGCAGGGCCCTGCGCCCGTGCAAACACGGGTGTTGCCGCCGCAAATCCAATTGCAGCTTCTTTATCGGGCGACACTACCCCACCACTCACCCTCACTCCACACGAAGGCGGAAGACCCATAGCCAACACGTAGAGGGCTAAGAAAAATCACTAGCTGGCAATAAATCTGAGAAGTCAACATCGAGTATCAGACAAAAAACAAAACAAAACAGAAAATAAGCAGAAACCTAATAAAGTGGAGCGACAAAACTGTAAATGAAAAGCTTAAATAAAATGGCGAGCAATTTGCATAAACTAACTGCATGGAGCCAAAAAACCACAAGAGTCGCTGCAAGGCAAGCACAAATCAAAAGGAAAACTGCAACAGCAGCCAGCCGGCCCAGACAATGGAAAACTTTAATAAGAAAAAAGAAAAAAAAAACAATTGCAATGCCAGCGACAGAGAAACAGAAATACAATTATTGTACATACTTTCTCTGTTTCTATTTCACGCTCAATGAAATGTGTTGATGATGGTAGCACCACCACCACAGGCAGCAGCACCACCAGCCCAGACCAACAACGGAAGTGGCCATCAGCCAGCAGCCACCGCCACAGCAGCCGCCGCCGGCCGCCACACAGAAAATGAGTTCACATATTCAAAGCAAAATCATGTGGCAGACTTTAATTGTAGGAAAACAAAATACGCAACAAAATCAGCCTCCAATTTCACGATGGACAAGCCGTGTTTTGTTTTTGCGTTAATTTTATTACGTATTTATGTGTGTGTGTTCGGATCTCGTTTTCTTTCATAGCTAATTACATTGCAGTGCATTGCATGATCACTCTGTATGGTAGCCGCCCCATCTCGATCTTTGTAAACACTGGAGGCAGTCCCCCCCCCCATACCAGGTATCTGGTATTTGGTTAGTTGTCACTGTTTCTGCTGTGGTGGTTTCTTATTCAAATGCGACGTAACTCGACCCACTTTCCTGCCAACCAACCAGGGAGCACACCAGAGCACAGAGGAGTTGGAATTGTTGTTGATTTTCTGTCATTTGTTTTTTGTAGGTATGAAAATTATAAATATTTGTGCAGCGAAATTTTTGTGCAGGAAATGCCAAAGGC